ATCACTTATTTATTTTGTTTTTCAGTTTCCTCACACAGTAAGATAATTACACTATTACAAAATTTGCACGCATGTTACTATGTATATTAGGTAAATTCATTTTATCAGAAACGACAACCTTGAATGATAGATATGTGCTATAGATATATTTTTTCAAAACAATTTTATTATCAAAATTATTCGTGTGTTATGGGATGCATCAATTATTGGAAAGCGCTTCGATCTTCGTTTCGTTGATTTCAGTCATATTTCTTCTTTGGCTAGTAAAGGTCATTGAGATTCTCATCAATAAATTCGTCGATGTCTTCAACTGTAAAAAATTATAAACCGTTGAAATAGCATAACACGATCTCAAGACACAAAGAGACAAGATATTTGCCACTGTGAAAAATATTCTTTATTTCCTTATCGCTATATGGCATCCAATTTTTGTCTTCGAAATGGCGCTAAAGAAAGATTCACAAACAATTTTCCAATCATGGCTAGGCCGTAAATTATTATTATAAATTGGCAGCTAATAGTCCAAAAATTGTAAAAGAATATTTTCTTAGAGTTTTGTTATTTGTGAATAATAGGGGGTTAATATTTCGTTTTCATTTGTACGTGAAATTTAAAACTTGTAAACAGACTACAATTACACTCAAGTCTAGTCAAAGTTATACAGAAAACGTACATATATTTTCCTCGTCCGCAGATCTTTTTTCTCGAAATCCATATCCATACCGGTGATATCTACTATAGCCACCGCGATAACGACCATATCCCCCATAGCCACCATTTCGCCCGTAGGCCGCATCGACCCTGTTTACATAAAAAATTATTTTGACGTACATGTGTAAGGTATACATGGCCTATCAGGATACAACAATGAATGGATACGAGCAGTGATAGGATTCGGCGCCTTCGCAGGGGAATCGTAATCGTATTAATCTGACACATTTTCAACAACAAGACATCTATAAGTCGTTATTACCTATCGCCCTGTATCAGTAATCTTTTCAAATACTTAAGAGTTTCTGACGGTGTTTTGGGCAAATTTAAAATACTGGGTCTAATGTTCAAATATGTCAGTTCCATTAGCTGAAACCTTTATCCCTTTGACCTGGAAACTTTAATTGCAATTTATAAATTTACAGGCTTTTGTTCTTGAGACAATTGGGCAAAACAATCCATGAAATAAAATACGAAACGTACGCCAAAATTGTATTTTTTATTACGCATCGACCAGAAAGGGCAAGAATCGCTTTTAAATATAATGTGAATCCTGTTTCTCATACTTATTCGAGAACATTGACAAAATAAAGTTTTAATACTTACTCATAGTTGATTGGCAAAATTAGAAGCATCACGAAACAAGTCATAAATAATGTTTTAGAATCCATCTTATTAAAATAAAAAATTATTTCAGTTAGCAAAGTCACAAATTGGGCTCAAACTGTTCTATCTCCAAAATGGCTTGGAGCGAGCAGCGTTTAAAATATATTCAAATATAAAATAGGGTAAATGAATGATGCAACAACGACTTATTATATTTTCTGAAGAATTTTACGTCTAAAAACATATGAAGATAGCACATGAATTAGATGCTAAACGGAATACGATCTCAATGAGTGGTTCTATTTTTAGGCCGCGCCCCCCATTAGAAATTTGTCGAGTCTCGCGCCCATATCAAAAATAACTTGCTAACAATAAGTAACAAATAAGGCGTATGACCTAAGGTGAAAGTATGTTTTATTCAAAAACATGTTGAAAATATGTGGATGAAACGTGAATATCCAAAATAAAAAAAATGTAAATATTCAAAATAAGGCGGGAACGATTAAATTTAACAAATATTTTTATTTTTAATCAGTTTCACACTCCCTCAAAAAAGTTTTTTTGCCTCACCGCTTGAGAACCACTGATATAAATGATGGCACTTTTACATACACAAGCGTGCAATACATAGCGAAACGATTTTATTATGAGGTAGATACAGTAAGTATGTGAATAATTATTTTAGCGTATAATGATATGCGTTATAAACACAATCGGACTTGTCCTGAGAAGATTTGTTTCAACTTAATAAAAGCACGAAAGATCATCCGCCGCGTCTCCCCATGTTACAGATACGGTAATCTCGATTCCGCAGAATGTACAATACCTGTATATATATGTAGTATGCAACAAGGTACTCCCGTAGTGTGTGTACCAGATTAGAGTTTATTACGAGTTCGTCCCTTTACACAACTTGATGTAAAGTAGGCGAACAAAATTAGTTACCTCCATATTGTTACACACACTTCTGGAGCGCCTACAACGACACATACCGCTTCAATGGAAAGCGACCTTTAACAATTTTTTCTCAAAAATCAATCGTGCGCTTTATTAGCCGGTGCGCCTAATGTGTGGATCGGATAGTTTTGTTTTCTTTAATGCCTACACTCAAAATCTGTACCAATATTGCTTGAAAACCGTTTCGTCTTATAACCCGATGTGAATAAAAATCCAATATGATCCAATTTTATTTGATGCCCAAAAGATACTCCTGAAATATGCTAACCAAGATGGCGGACACCGGAACATAATATGTGTACCAGGTTAGGGTTGGGCTTTTAGTTACAAATTCTACCGGAGTCACTTGGCCTGTCCCCGAACTCGTAATATAACTAAAATAAGAAAATTTGGAATAAAATTATGGCCTAACCCTAACCTGGTCAGATACTACGTTCCGGTATCCGCCATCTTGGCACGCATACTTCAAGTCATGGTCCGTAAAATACGGTAAAACAGAGCTCAATTCTCTATTGAACTAATAGCATAATTGATATGAGGTTAATTAACAGAAACAACTCCATAAACAATCATCCACTAACTGTGAATCCAATGCATAACAGTGAATTTGGAGGGAGCCGACTCTGATGCCCCCATGGTCGTATCACTCGCTCCAGTCTTTACCGAAAAGAGTGTCTATTTATTGTATGTATGCTTTCATTTATTTTTTGTTGTTGGCAAATGCACAATGCACCATATATCACTAATAACCTCGAGGGGGTTAAAATCGGTTGTCTCTTCCAAGCATTTGGGCCCTTAGGGGACGTATACGTAACCGACGTATAAATCATATCGATCAATCAACTACGGGCGAAAATAGTAAATTAGGTTGTAACTGACATTTAATTGATCTATTCATAAAATACTGTTTTCATTACTTAGTTAATTAAGACCTAATCATGCGGTTAAAAGAGCGTTCTAAAAAAAAGAGCGTTCATCACTACAGTGTCGAGATTTTTTCACTTGCTTTTGCTGAATCAAACGAATGTATTTTTATGAGCTTCTAGCCTAGTCTAATAAAGTCAAAAAATATCAATCAAACCCGGCATGAATAAACGGCAAACTAAATGGTAATACGCCCATTCACTTCTAAAGCGTCACTCGAAGCTACAAAAATTAGAGAGTATTTTATTATTTTTTCCACCTATATTCATGTATTATCACAGGCTTATAGTCCCATTAGACGATATCTAATCCTTTTCCGCTATTAGTCTATTTCACAAATTTGAGTTGGGTTGCGCGTGCCAATTATCCTATCTTTTCTCTATGCCTTTATGCTAGTGGAACCGTATGCGTATACTGCAAGGATACTGTAGCTGGAATAAACATGACTATTCTATCCAAAATTGGATTCTATCTTTAATTGGATAGAATAGTCTATTTCACACCGTGAAATTAGTACCTTTATGTCCCATGCTTCAACCTGATTTGAAGTTTTGAAGGCTTCTGAATTTCTGACTTGTGCAATGGTCCTTTGTGTACTGTACTGTCTTGTAAATTTTTATACCATGGCGGATTATGGGAAAAATAACTTATTCTATATTATGGTATTAGTTGACAGGCATTGATGTAGAACATTGGATAAGTTTTCTATTTTGTTTCGAGTGTTCTGATCTGATTTTTTCAGTTTGTTAGTTAATGAGCAAGTTCATTGTCATTTTGAACTATTTATAAATTTTACTCGATTTCTTTGTTTTCTGCCGTGTTTTCAGCAATGTTGTTGTTGTTTATTTCTTATTTTTTTTGTGTGTAATTATATATGTTACATAAAGAAGTAAAATAAATTCTTCACTACTTATGTTTGTATTTTGTGCTGAAGAACGCACTATTTATCCGAAGGTTCTATCTGCTTGGTTTTTAGTAGGGAAATGTTTGTTCCAAAGGGGAATCCCCTACCTCGATACCGGAAATCCCACTTCGTTGCTGGTAGCATCAAAATAAAAGTTTTTTTTTATTATATGCAAATTTTACGTCGAAATTTAGTTTATAGTCAAATAGATTAAGGAATCAGGGTTGCATCAATACCCCAATATCACCACCAAAAGTCGGCAGTGGCACTGTGTTTCCCCGAAAATAAGACCCAGTCTGATTTTTAAAATGATTTTAATATATTCCATACAGATATGTGCCTTGCCTTACTACTGCCTGACTGCCTTAAATACTGAAACAAGACTAGGTGTAGGTGCGAAAATTCAGTTAAATGAAATATTCATTGAAATTTATGAACCTGGCACGACATTCAAAAGGATGATATGGTCATTTTTAAATAATGACTGCTGAAATGTTTTGCATTTTTTTTTTTTTTGAATAAAAACGTGTTACTTATAAGTAAATGGATATCAGTTTTCATATTTTGTATATTTGAAAGTTTCATTATTTTTTACCTTGACAATAAAAGATATCCCCCTCAAAATTATCCCTAGTTTTCTGAAAGAAAATTGAAATTAGACCCTGTCCTATTATTGGGGAAACGTTTTGGTGCATTACAGTTATAAATACGACTTGCTGATTACGGTACTTGCGTATAAGACAAGGTTGAAATCCAATGAGTCATAACATATTTGTCATTGTTCAAATGTTGTAATTGTGACTGGATGGAAATGCTGTATCACTGTGTCAGGGCATTACTTTGGCTAAATTTTAAAATTCAACATGCTTATTCAAACATATGTGTTTATACTTTCAGTTATTCTGCTATTTCTATAACTGGATATCTTGTGAAAGTGTCAATTGCAACATGGGGGATAAGAATCAAATCGAGCATAATGGTGCTTTATCTCAGTCATTGGACAGGTCTGTTTGACATTCTGTTTTTATAACAACAATTCAATTGAGTATTATCTTTTCTAGTTGTATATCAAGAATTCAGTATCATCATTGCGGAAAACCTATGTTTAGGCTAATTCGAATTTTGTGCTGTGAAAATATCATAATCTCATGTTTAAGTAAAGCATTTTAAGTTATCTGCCCAATTCACAATTGAATGTTAAAAAGTCATTAATCTAAAAAATAGAAAATGTGCAACAGTGCTCCACAAACCAAACGAAATTATTGAGTAAAATCAAATTGAAATTAATTAAATAAATTGCATTTTACGGATGCTTCCTCGACCTTTGACCCCCAAAAAAATTCTCTCCATACTTTACCATTGTAAAATTCTGGAAAGGTTCTCTATGCTAATGAAAACTACCATATGCACATATGCAACTGCACGATCAAAATTTCACGGTATACATTTGTGCATCGCTACTATTCTCAAATTTATTTCTGACATTCATAGTATAGAAAAAATATTGAACTACTGGTATGACTGGATGTAGACTTCAAACACTGTAGATATTATCATAATAAAGGATAAGAAATCCTTTCTATCTGTTTATTCTGACTACATGTCATTAACCTATTCATGTTTTTGTCATACTAGTTTTCGGAAGAGAGGAATCATGTGTGATGTAACAATTATCATTGGAGAAGAAGAATTTCCAGCCCATAGACTTGTTCTATCAGCTGCTTCAGAGTATTTTGAAAAAATGTTTAATGTGGAGGTATGATGTAATTTAGTTTTTGTCCACTGCATTAAAGTAATATACACTTGCAGGTTAGGAAGATTTTCATAAATACCTTAAAGAGGTGAATAGATGGCAATCATCTGGCAAAATACAGCTTCTTTTTCTGCTTACTAGACTCTGTCGGGTGGTAACTGTATTTTCGGGAAGGATTAGCTTAGAAGGGTGGGGAAGCTGATTCTGGTTGCCATATAGCTCACTCCCCCGGTCTATCTTGGATAACTTGTGTGTTTTTTATTTACTTTTTTATTGATTTATTGCTTGCATTCTTATTGACGACATCTCTATCTCTAAGTCTATCTTGAATAACTTGTGTGTTTTGTCTATCTTGAATAACTTGTGTGTTTTTTATTTACTTTTTATTGATTTAATGCTTGCATTCTTGTTGACGACATCTCTATCTCTGAGTAACTGCTCTAAATAAATGTTTTAACTGCATGGGTTTTAGTGGTGCAAAGAGCAGCATCCAATCAATATGTTCATGAACTATTTTGCACTCATAAGAAGTCCAATGTTACTCTGCCAAATGAGCTATATGTTATTTGATATATTGTCATTTTTGTGAAATTCTGATAACGAAGGACCTGTGGGTATGAGGCATCATGGTAAGTGTTGAGAATATGCCTGCCATCGCGCCTCTGATTACCATATATAGGTTCAAATCTTATGGAGGGATAATTATGTGCAAGAGAAGTGGCCGTTGCCTGTCTAATCTCTGTCTTATCTCTTTCCCTCTTGCTTGAGATAAATATGAAAATCTAATCCTACTTTGTTTCTAGAAATTACTGAATTAACATTGGAAATTCAAAATTCACTTTTTTATGCATTTTTTACATAGTATTTGACATGTTCGGATTAAAATATTCGACCCCCAAAATTATGTAATATATGAAATATAAGCCATTTCGAAATGATTCTTTTATATCTCATGTATAATCAGAAATCAGTAGTTTATTTTATCATCATACTAAAAGCACACTTGATATACAAATTGCTATAAATAATGGAAAAGCATTTCAAGGTGAAGGAAGCTGCGGCGAACCAAATTTGGTTATCAAGTAGCGGCACTAATAAGAAAGTCTAACAAGAAAATGATTATAACATATCGAACCATATTGTAAACGTTATTTGGAAAAAAACAATAACTAATTCAAGGCATGTCGACCAGGAATGCCCTGTAGTAGCGGGTTTCTACAACGAAACAACAACGAAAAATGACTCTGTCGACAAACAATCTAAGTAACTGTGACAAGAGAGGGATTCACGAAACCGCTGGTTGGTTGCGACTTCCTCCACCGCCAAGTCCGTGCTTCCGAACACAATTAACTAACTAATCCCATACTCGACATGGAATGGTAACCGGACGAGAGGTCGTGGTTCGCCATATGGTTAAGCCGTCCATTGGCTTTCCTCTCTCTCGGGATAAATATGTAAATTCTTGTATTAAAAAAAAGAACAATTTTTTTGTTCCAGATGAAAGAGAATGTGACAGGCAGAGTAGAAATGCAAGAGATTAGTGTTCCCATATTCAAAAGTTGCCTTGAATATATTTACACTGGATTGATCAACATTCATGCTGATAATGTTCATGAGTTATTGAAAGCAAGTGCACTGCAACAGATACAAGGTGAAATTATGTAGTGAAAAGCTTGTGTATTCATTTTTTTGTGTAATTGCCTTCAGTGTTGAAATTATTTGATACTCCCGAAGTATGTGAACCAAGATGACGGACTCCGGAACAGAGTATATGTACCTGGTTAGGGTTAGGCCATAACTTCAGGTACAAATACTACGGGAGTCACTTGTCTAGTCTTCGTACTTGTAAAAAATCCTAAATAAGGAAAATTGGAATAAAATTATAGCCTAACCCTAACCTGGTAAACATTCCACGTTCCGGTATCCGCCATCTTGAATCACATACTTCGGGAGTACCAATTATTTTTGTGGGCCACTGGTGTTTTTTTATCATTATACATTTCGGACCTCTTGAAGTATGTGCATCAAGATGGCGCACAACCTGAACATAGTATGTGTATCAGGTTAGAGTTCAGGTTATGCGACATCTTGGTGCGCATGCTTCAGGAGCACTATCATTTCCACTTTAAGCAGCCACATATTCTATTTCAAGAGAACTAAAATCTTTTTGGTTTGCCTATGCCAATGGATGGTTCACGTAACCGCTGGTCGGTTAAGGCTTCTTCCACCATCAAGTATATGCCTCTGAAAACAAATAACTGGCTAACTGTTCTCATATCCCGATATGGACCCCGACGTGGGTGAAAGAAAAATAAATTACTGATTACTGACTGGTAATCGGACAAAGGTCGTGGTTCGCCATATTATTAAGCTGTAGCATAGTCTTTCCTGTTCCCCAGGATGAATATGTAAACCCCCCTCCCCCCAATTTAATTAACCCTGTTTGGTGTGGCAGTCATTTTTTCTTCACATAGTTTGGCCTTTTGGCTTCTCAACCAGGTGTTGAAGTGTAGACTTGAACCATGAACCTTTACTTTAACCGTGTTCGTGTTCATTAAGATTTTTAAAGTTTTTTAAATTGTATCATCATAGAGCAGGGGTGGCAGACACAAGTGGGCCGGATGAAACACTTCGATGGACCTAATTCGTACCGCGGACGCGTACCAGCAGGCGTAACCTGTTAACAAATGCAGGGTGATCTGAGATGTGGTGGCAAGCGTATTCCTAATGCTTAGCATGAGCCAACCACCAAGATAAGACTGTGCCAGATTCAGCTTTGTGGAAATTTAATTTTGATTTTTTTTCAGATCTGAAAAAGCTTTGTCTGAATTTCATGCAAGAGAATTTGAGTGTGAAAACCTGCATGGAATCATTCAACATGTCGAAGCTTTATGAGAGTGATGAATTGAGAGAAAGTGTTGAAGATTTCATGATTAAAAATTTTGAACAAGTCTCAAAATGTTCAGACTTCAACAAGTTCATGGATGAGGCATTCTTGGGGAAAATCTTGACTTCAGATGAATTGAAGGTTTGTAGAAGAATTATTCAATGTTCTAGTCTTCAAATTTGGGTGTATGTTTCTTATAAAATTCCTGTACTCCCGTAGTGTGTGTGTACCAGGTCAGGGTTAGGCCAGCCAAGTAAATATACCCTCTGCTCATAGGCTTCTGTCCTTTTACCCAACTTGATATAAAGTAGGCGAACAAAATTAGTAATCTTCATATTAGTACACACACGTCTGGACCGTTAATTTTTCTAAATAGGAGTTTTCTGGAAGCTGGCTTTTAAACATTTTTAATGAAAGTCTACATTAGCAAAAGAGTTTATTTCCTATTACCGTACGTTCTACAGGGGGTCAAATGTTAGTAGCAATGTTTGAGTTGTATATTTCAGAATTCTCATCTTACCAACTGGCCAATGCAAGTAGGATGCAAATTTTTACTTTTAAATTTCTTATTAATTGTAGTTTTTCTTATTATATGCACATATTTTAATTGAATTCTTTTTCCTGTACTCCCGTAGTGTGTGTACCAGGTTAGGGTTAGGCCATAATTTTAATTTGATTTTCCTTATTTGAGTAATATTACGAGTTTGAGAGGTGTCCCCCCTGCCCATAGTTTTCAGTCCCTTTATACAACTTGATATAAATTAGGCGAACAAAACTAGTTACCTCCATATTGGCACACACACTTCTGGAGCTCCCTTTTTCCAGCTCGATACTATATTTCCACTGTTGTATCACAGATACCAAATGAGAAGATTCTGTATGAAATTGTGATGTCTTGGATCAAGTACGATTCCGTGAATCGAGAGGAATTATTTCCACAGTTATTTCAGCAACTAAGATTGAGTCTCCTGCCTGTGGATTTTCTGTATGCTGTCATGAGTGAGGTGGGGTTTCAAATCTATGTGGTATAAATATTTATTCAGGAGCTTTGTCAGAATAGAGGGCTGTGTTTGCCATTGGCTCTGCTCCCCGAGATAAATATGAAAATCATATCCTGTAGCAGGTACAAAATAATTCCTCAATTACTCAACCCGATATCAAAAAGGCTAGTCCACGAAGCTTTGTTGGGTCATGGCTTACTATGTTGACCACATGTATGCATAAACCAGGGGAAGGAGCCTGAGCTGGAGTCATTTTGGTGGAGCTGGAGTCAAGCTTATCATGTTAGATGGAACTACAACCTTAGCAGGAGCTAACACAAATTTTAGTTGCTTCAGCTTCGAACCATCCGATTGTATTTCAATATTTATAATTTTCTAATACTTATACAAATATTAAAATCTATCCCTTCCAGCTCATAAAATATCATAAATTTCACATTATAATATCAACTTAAAATCTCAAGTTAGATTTGTATATTTAAAACTTTAATTTTAAACCTGAATATCATACTTTTGACTTTTTTAGTTTATGAATGATTTTGAAATGAATTCAAATGAAAATAAATTATTCACATTTTCTTTGCAATACTTCCTATACAGGAAATCATTAGAAAAAATGAAAAATATGTGAAGATAATACAAGAAGCCATAGCACAGGTTTATATGGGAAAAGTGACTGAAATGAGGAGATCTGTTGATAACTTCATGGGTAGGTCTATCTCCTGGATTGCAATTGGTCATATTTGATATTTGACCAACCTCATAAATTTCTTTTTGCTATTGCAATTGTATTTCCAAGTATAGGATAAAATTTACATATTTATTCCGGGGAGAGGAAAGCCGATAAAACGACCTAATCATATGGTGAAACAAGTCCTCTCTCGCAGTTACCAGTCTTTGGAAGATGATAAGACGTTATGCTCTATTCATTGGCTAGTTCTTGTATACTAAACCTGGTGCTCTATAATGAGTTTGGTCGATGAAGATTAAGCCAATTCGGAGCAATGTTTTCAACCATGTCTGAGCGGCTTCAAAAATCGATTCTTGGGGAAACATCCATAGACATTCATCTTTTCCTCTATGGTGTTATCTACTGTTGCACTTTTTCAATTGTGTACATACCATTGGATTTGCCTGTTTTTCATGGCCAAATATAGGTTATCGTAATATTGGTCTTCTTTCAGTCTAACACGAGGATTGTATCAAGTATCTACATTTTGCCTTTGTCTCATTCCGGTATTAAATTTTTCTACCCTCTATCTTTTCCATATATCTATATAATGAAGAAACGTTTGGCATTGAAATGGAATTTTAATATTAGATCAGATTTGTTCACAAATTACTGCAACCATTTCATTCTGCCTCTACCAATCTCTGTAACTAGAGAATTTACCTCTTGAATACATTTTCAGGCAAACGACTTTTATTGATGAAAAAAGATGTGACGTTGAGTGAAAATACTATTTTGAGCTTTACGCCAGAAACAAATACTTGGAATAATTTCCCTGGGGTGAGGTGATTTTTGCTGTGATAAAATGGTAAAAAAACATTCAATATAAATAATATATGGTTCAAGGAAAATATAGACTCTTCTCACACTATCATGTCATATTGGATTGTAAACTCTGTTATCAATAACAAAAAAGTTCTTATGCCCAGTTTCAAGTTTTAGTTTTCATTTATGCTCAAATTTTTCTGGTTGCCAAAAATTTAACTTGTGTTTGTATTAATTCCTGAGATAATTCTTAGAATAGAATAGAATACAAGGAATGCATCCTTGGTCTCGAGATTGAAAAAAAAAACGCTAAAGACCTAATAAATAGCATGAAATACCAAATAAAATAGATTTATATATATATTTTTCAGTGGAACACAAAATAAGGATTATGTCACAATGTTCTAAAATAGTGATAAATGAGTGTAGAGCAGCGGTTCCCAAACTATGGGTTGCGACCCACTGGTGGGTCGCAAGAGGAATCTCAGTGGGTCGTGAAAAGATGTAGAAAACTTTGATTAATTATACTGGTTATTAGGATCGATGGCAAAGCAAATTTCGAAATAAACTGCAACAATTTTTTACGTCTTAAACTATCGGAAATTGAAATAATTGTTAAGTCTATTATGGAAAATAGCAAGAAACAAGCTCATCTTTCTCATTAGCTTCACTGAAAATACAATTTGTGAAAATAGATTTGTTTCCTCCATCAATGTTTTATTAATTTATTAAAGTTAAATGGGTCGCCATAAGCTGTGGTAGAAAATAGTGGGTCTCAACTCTAAAAAGTTTGTAGAGTTTTCTCTACACATGTTGACCTGTTTAGTATTCAAATTTGATTTATACTTTGTTTTAGGGATCGGCCTTCTCTGCTGTTGCATGTGCTGTCATGGATAACAAACTTTATGCTGTCGGATCCACTCTTGAAATGAGCATTTTGGATTTGAACAATAATAAATGGTCAACTGTTGATGGTGATGGTGTGAATAGGGGAAATTTTGCTCTTGCGGTTCATCAAGGTTTTTATTCTATTACTGATTGGATAGGATTTACATAATCATCCCAGGGGATAGGAAAGTTGATAAGAATGCTTAATCACATGGAGAACCACGACCTCTCGTCCGGTTTCCAGTCCATGGGATTGGCTTTCCATGGGAGTTGCATTCAAAATTATTATTTCGAATATGAAATTTCGAAAACATTCGAAAATAAATTCATGTAAAGTGAGCTTATCTTAATGTATGAAGGAATTTGCATACAATAAACAATGGAATAACTGTTATCTACAAGCTAGCTACCAGACATTTTATGTCCGCCGATTGCCGTGATATTTGATAGTAGTATGCCGTTTTACTTTCATAAGTACGATTATAATAGGGCAGTTTACCATACATTTTACGTCCGCAGATTGATGTGGTATTTTAAAATTGTAATGCTTTTGTTTTTCGTGAGTACGAAAATAGTAATCAAAAATTTATTATGATCGATCAGATTACCACACATTTTATGTCCGCAAATTGTCGCGATATTTTAGAGCAGTAATGTTTTTATTTTTTCGTAAGATGACGCAACCATGAGTAACTTTGAACAGAATTAAATTAACACGGCAAGGCATTTGAAATACTGTTATCGTCATGGATTTGAATATTTTGCGCAACATAAAATCATCCTAGTTGAAAGTCTATATTTTTTACTATCATCATCAAAATGCATTAATTTTTTCATGAGTCGACCCAACCACGAATAAGACTAAACACAATTTAATTAATACGGTAAGGCATTTTAAATGCTTGTATCTACCGTTCATGGATTTGAATATTTTGCGTAACAGAAAATTATTCTGGTAAAGGTTAGATACTTTAACTATCACTATCAAAATTATTTGCCAAAAGCGGGAAAAAGTGTAAATTATTTTTCCTGATAAATTAACTCGTTTTTTTTCGACTTGCGACAATTTATTGGGTGTCGTAATTTGTAACAAAGTGCACGAGTTTATTTAACTTATCTAATATCTGACTATGGATGGATCTATGCGAGACAGGTGACTTAATGCAAATGAATGTGTGAATTAGAATGCCTTGTAAGGGAATGGCGACAGTGCCAATCACGTAAACACGCAAATGTGTCGCAACAATACGAGGCGCACGCTCGCACAGGAGATAACAAACTATCGAAGTCCCAATACTATTTCACCGTCATTGAAACACGTGACAAAGAGCGGAATATCGTTTGAAGATTTCCCCCAAAATTGAAACACCTCGCTGATGGCAAAAAGTGGCTAGCATTCGGAATTATTCGAAAATCAGCCGAAAAGGTATTCTAATACTTTGAAATTCGAATATTTGATTCGTTTTGGACAACCCTGCCTCTCACACATAATTATATTCTCACGGGATTTAAACATGCAGACCTATGCATGGTAATCAGTTTTGTGTTGGCGAGGGTATCCTAACATTTAGCACGATGCGCCACACCGCCGAGCCACTCAATAAATAAATATTTGACTTATCTGCAGACAACCAGTATTGGTAGTTTAGGCACCCTTCTTTAGAGTGAACACCAAGTAGTGTTATTCACATTGTTTAATCAATGTTGTATTGCATATTATTTTGTGGGTTATTTTTTTTTATCGGTAATTTAAAATGAGAAATAGGTGCCATTCAGTATAGCAGGGGTCGGGAACCCATGGCTCGCGAGCCATATATGGCTCTTTTGGCGGCGGCATATGGCTCCCACAAAAATCTAATATTCTAAGGCTAAGCTTATTATTGCAAAGAAATTTCAAACGTGTACATAGCTAAATTTGGCAGATAATTGCCAGTACGTTTGAGAACGCGCGCCTGTCGCAGGTCTATGTTATGTAAGAAAATTACATGACCAGCATTGTGACAAAACTAAGGGATTCTGGAACATATTTTGTGACATCACAAAATCACGGAGCAATAGAGCAAAGCTTTTCGCCCGTTTTTACGTACTGGTTACAGTATTTTTCATATTCAGATAGGTAAAATACTACGGAGATGTCTAAACAAAGGGAGGGTGATGAGTATCATAGATTTCAGCTTGTGTCGCATGTGAGCATCATAAGCAACCTTAAATGTATATTGGCATTGTATGTGTTGACTTTGAGTAATAATTTCAGGCCTGATTAAATAGAGAAATACTATATGGCTCGCAAGGAAATGCAGTTGAAAATATGTACCTTTTATGGCTCTCTTGACCAAAAAGGTTCCAGACCCCTGCAGTATAGCATTCAATCCTAGTTTGGGAAATTATTCAAAAAAAAAATCAAAACTATCATTTTTTCTCATTTTTCAAACCATCTTTATCGTGTCTCGTTTTTTGGGTATGAAACTCTTGATTTGTGAGCTTTGATGATTTTTACTCCCCAATGTAACTGAATCTTCCTACTGGAATTCAACATCAACTTTTATTTGCAGGCGATTTATTTTTGGTTGGCGGTAACGAACCCGATTATCGCCGATCCGTTTCTAGCTATTCGCCGATAACCCAACAGTGGAAGGAACAGCCCAGCATGATTAAACAAAGATACCGTCTTACTTTAAATTCATTAGGAGGTATACATCATATGTTCGAATCAATGTATAATTATTGTTGGCGCAGCAATCTGGATATTAGATATAGCCAGTCTGAAGACTGATACAATTTTATACATTACTTTTTATTGTTTAAAATATTTGTCTTCTAATATTAATAAAGACAATTAATGTAAGTTCCAAGTCCAGTCTGGTAAAATTGTCTAGCTGAATTTTTAGTTGAACCATTACACCAAGTCTCTACCATATGTACCATGTAATTTGCATATAAAATTTAATAATCTTATTTTGAAAAAGATAGTGAGGCATAATAATATTTATTTTCAATAAGGTGCTTTGTATGCATTTGGCCATGATGCTCCTGAGAAATTTTTCAACAATGTTTGGAGTCCAATACAGGATTGTGTTCACAGCTGTGACATCAAAGTTTCTGCTGTAAAAGATGGCTTGATCTACGCTATTGGTAACTATTATGTCATTATATTTCATAAACTTTGGTGAATGTATTCTCAGACTTTGTATAGAAACCTTCGCATACAATCAGATTTGGATTTGTGTTTCTCGATAAATAAAATAAAAGCAATTCATCATTTTTTTTTTCAATTCATAAACTCATTTGCGCCACCCTGTGTGCATAAATTTAATTATATAAAAATCATTCGATTTATAAGAATTAACTAACTACTACAATTCAGATAACTTTAGAAAAGATTAAATTGAATGGCTGATTACAAATTCATTCATTAGTGAATTTAAATTCACTGCCAATATGAAGAAGGAAGTGAACAGTGTGAAACAGGTAAATACCCGTCGCTAAATGTTATTGCAAGTATGAGTTGCTCAGCTTACAAATAAAATCACTTTGTTCATGATGATAAACAAGAAAAGTCACTACAGCAGCAATATTAATATATAATTATTATTACTTTTCCTCTTTGTAATGCAAATTATGTTATTACAATAAAAACAGGCCAGTATTGTGTACATCCTCGAACTGATGCATTCATGAACATCTATCATCCAGCTGATGAGTTTTGGTGTTGTCTGAATGGCTTCACCCTTCCAACGGGAATTTCTGGATTTTGCAACCTCAGTGGTGAATTATACATTGTTGGCAAGTAAGTTTTTTACTTTGAGGTACTTTTAGTCTGCATGAGGTTTAATATGGATAAAACTAAACAGAAAATGTTGAAATACAATACAAACGTATAGTTTACTGCAGGGGTGTGCAAACTGCGGTTCACAAAACATCTTTTCTCACTGAATTCGTTTAAAGTCGTTGTGAGATCAAAAACAGAAAGAAACAATTTTTTGTGTTTGCCACTACAGTGGAACGAGAAGAAATTTTGTAAGTTGGATTTTTTGTATCAGAGCTGTTCTGTTCATAGGTAGAGTTTATAGTTGCTGCCTGCTGTTTCACCCATTTAGTTGTAAATGACCCTTCTGTAATAAAGGTTGCACACCCCTGGTTTAATGCATTAAATAAGTCTGGAAACCTGCAGACTTCCTTCTCGATAGCAATGCAACTTTTCCAAATCTGCATTTAAATGAGCTTACGAAAATATTTTTCACTTACTAATCACGCTGACTCAGTTTACAAATAAGCAAGTTGCCATTGTATAAATTTCATGGGGGGGGGGAAACTAATTTGATGTTACAATCTGCATACACGGACAGTAATACGTTAAGGCAGGGTATGGTAATGGTTACACGGCTAATTGTACATATGCATGGGCTTTGATGGTGGGAGATACAGTAATTGGGAAGAAGTAAAGTGAACTACTTGATGGAGAGTAGCCTATTAAGTCTTTTTGCACACTCGAACATTTGGGCTTAGGCAGGGTAATCAACAGGTCGGCACTTTTGGTTTCAATAATTTATTTAATAAAAAATTTTACTTCATGCAGGTAGTTTCTCTGATATCGGTTATCGGAATATCCTTTTTAATTTTTTTGTTTTTTTTTGTTTTTTCAGGATCTCAAATCATTTTTCTTTGCATTAATTTTTTTAACATTTTTGTTGTTTAGTGATGGTGAGCAGAAAACTTCAATTAAAAGAATTGATTTAAAAAAGAAGTCTTCTATCATTGTCTCACAAAAGTTTGAAGATTGGAGCAACGTTTGTTTGGTTGCTTATTAAGTTTTTGTCATAGCAAATTGCTTGATCAGGCTGATATAATTTTTTAGCCTAAAACGTCTCCAATATTATATTAGATTTCTCTTGCATACTGATATTGAATCATTGTTTAGTTTTTTATGTGAATTAGTTTTAAATCTCTCTTAGTTTTAGTCTAAATTTTGTAATTTTTAAAGGTATTTTTCATAATTTTTATGAAGTCTATTTTATGACTTTTCCAAAGGCTACAGAAAGCTAATATGAGAGTTTATCAGACATTGTATAACTATTGAAAAAAGGATGATGATGCCAGTTTTCCTGATTATTATGTTCCTATTGTTATTGTGTACAGAAGTTGCCCTCCGCAGAAATGATTTGACATAATGTTTTTATAACTAATCAATAATACTATTTCATTTTAATATAACATTTCAAATCATTTCATTAAATATGTGTTTACTTTTATTTTGCTCATAGTTTTACTGTGTTTACTTATCATTAAACGCAAACCAATTTTGTAGCCTACCTTACTTGGCAAGGTTAAAACAATTCTACCGTTTTCATTGCTGTAAGCGCTTGTTAATAAAGCACTTCTATCTTTTACATCATTTATTTACTTTCGCCATGTACGCCAATGGTACATGTAATTTGTAGCCATGTTTTAGAGACTATTTTTTTAGAGATTAATTCAATAAAGCATACATGTATATGAGTTCCAAAAACATTGATACAATCCTTGAGATTGAGTTTGATACCGGAAATCCCACTTCGTCGCAGGGCGCCATCAAAATAAAGTTTTTTTTCTAATATATGCAATGTTACGTCAAACTTTAGTTTATAGTCATATAGATTAAGGAATCAGGGTTGAAACAATCCCCCAATATCACCACCAAAAGTTGACAGTGGCACTGTGCTTTCCCGAAAATAAGACCTCGCCTGATTTTTAAAATGATTTTAATATATGCCTTGCCTTAAATAATACCTGGTGTAGGTGCAAAAATCAGTTAAATGAGATATTTATTGAAATTTATGAATCTAGCAAGACAATAAAATAGTTGATGATATGGCCATTTTTAAATAATAAATGCTGAAATGTTTTGCAGTTTTTTTTTGATTATCAGTTTCCATATTTTGTGTGTTGAAAGTCTCGTCATTTTTTACTTTGATAAATAAAAGACATTCCCCCAAAATGATCGCTAGTGTTGTTTTCCGAATAAAAATTGAAATAAGACCCTGTCCTATTTTGGGGGAATCGCTTTGGTACATGACATTATAGTTATAAATACAATTGCCTGATTATAGTACTCGGTATGAGGCGGGGTTGATCTCCAGTCATAACATATTTCCCATTGTTCAAATGTTGTACTCGCCACTTGATGAAAATGCTAATAGACCAGATAAACTATTAGTGAATTCTTTTCGCTACATTTCAAAAATCTGACACGCTCAATTCACACATATGTATTTATATTTTCAGTTATTTATCTATTTCTCTAACTGGTTATTTTATGATAGTGTCGATTGCAACATGGGAGATAAGAATCAAATTGAACATAATAGTGTTTTATCTCAGTCATTGGACAGGTCTGTTCGACATTCTGAGTATTATCTAATTGTGAATAAAAAATTCAGAAATAGCATTTTGAAAAACCCATTTTTAATTGTTAATTTCGTGCTGCTAAAATATCATAATCTCATGACAAGCAACAAGGCTCCTTAAACCAAACAAAATTATTGAATAAAATTGAACTAAAGATAAATAAATAAATTTCATTCAATAGATGTTTTCTCGACCTTTGACCCCCAAAAATTTCTCTCTATACTTCACCATTGTAAAATTTTGGTTCGCGATGCTCAGGTAAACATCCATATGCGGCTGTACGATAACAATTTTCACGGTATACATTTCTACATCACCACCATTCACAAATTTATTCCTGGCAATTATGGCATAGAAAAAAAATTGAATTATAACTGGATGTAGACAAACACTGTAGATATTATCATAATAAAGGATAAGAAATCCTCGATATGAATGTATGGGATTTATTTCTATCTGTTTATTCTGACTACATGTCATTAACCTATTCATGTTTTTGTCATACTAGTTTTCGGAAGAGAGGAATCATGTGTGATGTAACAATTATCATTGGAGAAGAAGAATTTCCTGCTCATAGACTTGTTCTATCAGCTGCTTCAGAGTATTTTGAAACAATGTTTAATGTGGAGGTATGATGTAACTTTAGTTTTTCTCCACTACATTAAAGTGATATTGGTGATGAAGTATCTTGCACTGATGGGAAGTCCAATGTTACCCTGGCAAATGAGCTTGATGTTATTAGAAAATTGTATTTTTTGTAAAATTTTTAAAACGAAGAGCCTGTAGGTATGACACATCATGTCACCATGCCTTTGATTACCATACATAGATTCAAATCTCATTGGGGATATTTATGTGCATAAGGAACGGCCTTCCCTAAGATTAAGCCGCCTTATCTCTTTCCCTCTTCCTCAAGATAAATATGGAAATCTAATTCAACATTGTTGCCAGAAATTACTGAATTGTTGTGAACCTAACATTAGAGATTGAAACTTCTCCTTTACCACCGCATGTTTTGAATAGTATTCGACTTATTCAGAGTAAAATATTTGACCACAAAAATTATGGAGTTTATGAAATATAAGCCAGTTCAAAACTATTCCTCTATATCTTATGTATAATCCGTAATCAGTAGTTTATTTTCTCATCATGCTGAAAGCCCACTTGATATACAAATTGCAATAAATAATGAAAAAGCGTTTCAAAGTGGAGGAAGCTGCGGTGAACCAAATTTGGTTATCAAGTAGCGGCACTAACAAGAAAGTCTAACAAGAAAATAATTATTAAATATAATTAAAAACAATAATTAATTCAAGGCATGTCGACCTGGAATGCCCAGTAGTTGCGGATTTCTACAACAACAACGAAAAATGACTCTGTCGACAAACAATCTAAGTAATCGTGACAAGAGAGTGATTCGCGTAACCGCTGGTTGGTTGCGACTCTCTCCATCGCCAAGTCCGAAAACAAATAACTAACTAATCCCATACCCGACATGGAATGGTAATGGTTCGCCTTATGGTTGAGCCGTCCTATTGGCTTTCCTCGCCCCCAGGATAAATATGTAAATCCTATCTTGTAAATCCTATCCTAGGAGCTGAGTTGTATTGGAAAAAAATTCCCATTTGTTGTTTCAGATGAAAGAGAATGTGACAGGCAGAGTTGGAATGCAAGATATTAGTGTTCCCATATTCAAAAGTTGCCTTGAATATGTTTACACTGGATTGATCAACATTCATGCTGATAATGTTCATGAGTTATTGAAAGCAAGTTCACTGCAACAGATACAAGGTGAAATTGTGTAGTAGAAAACTTGTGATTCAGATATTTACGGTATTTCCTACGTGCATGAAATAATGTACAAATAAACAGTGAAAATAAATCAATTGGGAGAAAACAAAATAACAGACCTACAATAATTTGACTGCAATAGGTGAGGAGTCGCAAATAAACTATAAAGTTATCGTCAGCGACACCTAAATTGCTGTATACAGCATCAGATGACGTCAAATAAACAGTATTTAAACATATTTTTTTGAATGAACACGATTTGGAAAATGTTGATGTAATTGAGAGAGCCATTCGGAGAAAAACAACGTTTAAATTGTCTGATTGTTCTGATCTGTTCTGATAAGCATGGCGCTACCTTGTGTAATTGACTTTTTGTGGACCATTTGTGTCTATTATCATTTGTCATTTCCACTTCAGGCATTCACTAATACTATTTTAAAAGAACCCAAATCTTTCTGGTTTGCCTATGCCAATGGACGGTCCACGTAACCGCTGGTTGGTTACCTTACAGCTTCCCCCACCTTTAAGTCTATGTATCTGAAACAAATAACTGGATAACCAATCCCATACCCGACATGGACTGGTACTCGGACGAGAGGTCATGGTTCGCCATAAGATTAAGTCGTAGTAGAGGCTTTCCTCTCCTCTGGAATAATCGGGATAAATATATAAACCCCCCTCCCCCCACATTAAATATGCTCTGGTTGAAGTTGCAGTCATGGTGTTTTACCCTACATCCTCTGTATAGTTGGGCCTTTTACTCTCTCACCTTGGTGGTGAGGTGTAGGCTTGAACCATGAACTCTTAGTTTAACTGTGTCCATGTTCATGAGGACTCAAACTCGAGTTTGGTAAGTTGTATCATCATGGGGGAAGATTTTATTTTGAAGATATTTGTTGAAATCTGTCATATTTTGATTTAGGTAGTATACGATAGGTTTTTCCTTACATATTCCAGGGGGGGCGCAAAGTAGTACAGCAGTAGTTTTGCGAACCATAGTTTCTTGTCTGCTTACTAGTCGATGTTGAGTATGTGGATTGGTCACCAGTTAGAATAGGATAGGATTTTCATATTTATCCCGGGTGAGAGTAAAGTCAATAAGACGGCCCAATCACATGGCATAGTATACCTCTCATCCGGTTACCCACACAGGGTGATCAGAGATGCAGTGGCAAGCGTATCCCTAACAACAGGCCAAGACTGTGCCAGATTCAGCTTTGTGGGAATTAAATTTGATTTTTGTTCAGATTTGAAAAAGCTTTGTCTGAATTTCATGCAAGAGAATTTGAGTGTGAAAACCTGCATGGAATCATTCAACATGTCAAAGCTTTATGAGAGTGATAAATTGAGAGAAAGTGTTGAAGGTTTCATGATAAAAAATTTTGAACAAGTCTCAAAAAGTTCCGACTTCAACAAGTTTATGGATGAGGCATTCTTGGGAAAAATCTTGGCTTCAGATAAATTGAAGGTTTGGAGAAGAATTGTTCAATGTCCTAGTCTTTAAATTTGGATGTATGTTTCCCATAAAATTTCTGGTACTCCCGTAGTGTGTGTACTAGGTGAGGGTTAGGCCATAATTTTTTTCGATTTTCCTTATTTTAGTTCTATTACGAGTTCGGGAACTGTCTGTTAGCCAAGTGGATATACCCCCCGTCCATCGGCTCCAGTCACTTTATACAACTGATGTAAAGTGGGCAAACAAAATTAGTTACCTCCATATTGGTACACACATTTCCAGAGCACCCTTTTTTCATCTTGATACTATAATTTCCACTGTTGTATCCCAGATACCAAGTGAGAAGATTCTGTATGAAATTGTGATGTCTTGGATCAGGTACGATTCGGAGAATCGGGAGGAATTATTTCCACAGTTATTCCAGCAACTGAGATTGAGTCTCTTTCCTGTGGATTATTTGTATGCTGTCATGAGTGAGGTGGGGTTTTAAATCTATGTGGTATAAATATTTATTCAGGAGCTTTGTCAGAATAGCGGGCTGTGTTTGCCATTGGCTCAGCTCCCTGAGATAAACATGAAAATCATATCCTGTAGCAGATACAAAATAATTCCTCAATTACTAAACCCGATATCAGAAAAGCTATTCCACGAAGCTTTGTTGGGTCATGGCTTACTATGTTGACCACATGTATGCATAAACCAGGGGAAGGAGCCTGAGCTGGAGTCATTTTGGTGAAGCTGGAGTCAAGCTTATCATGTTAGATGGAACTACAACCTTAGCAGGAGCTAACATAAATTTTAGTTGCTTCAGCTTTAGTTGCTTCAGTTGCTTCAGCTTCGAACCATCCGATTGTATTTCAATATTTATAATTTTCTAATACTTATACAAATATTAAAATCTATCCCTTCCAGCTCATAAAATATCATAAATTTCACATTATAATATCAACTTGAAATCTCAAGTTAGATTTGTATATTTAAAACTTTAATTTTAAACCTGAATATCATACTTTTGACTTTTTTAGTTTATGAATGATTTTGAAATGAATTCAAATGAAAATAAATTATTCACATTTTCTTTGCAATACTTCCTATACAGGAAATCATTAGAAAAAATGAAAAATATGTGAAGATGATACAAGAAGCCATAGCACAGGTTTATATGGGAAAAGTGACTGAAATGAGGAGATCTGTTGATAACTTCATGGGTAGGTCTATCTCCTGGATTGCAATTGGTCATATTTAATATTTGACCAACCTCATAAATTTCTTTTTGCTATTGCAATTGTATTTCCAAGTATAGGATAAAATTTACATATTTATTCCGGGGAGAGGAAAGCCGATAAAATGACCTAATCATATGGTGAAACAAGTCCTCTCTCGCAGTTGCCAGTCTTTGGAAGATGATAAGACGTTATGCTCTATTCATTGGCTAGTTCTTGTATACTAAACCTGGTGCTCTATAATGAGTTTGGTCGATGAAGATTAAGCCAATTCGGGGCAATGTTTTCGACCATGCTTGAATATGTGTCTGAGTGAACGAAGTGTCTGAGCGGCTTCAAAAATCGATTCTTGGGGAAACATCCATAGACATTCATCTTTTCCTCTATGGTGTTATCTACTGTTGCACTTTTTCAATTGTGTACATACCATTGGATTTGCCTGTTTTTCATGGCCAAATATAGGTTATCGTAATATTGGTCTTCTTTCAGTCTAACACGAGGATTGTATCAAGTATCTACATTTTGCCTTTGTCTCATTCCGGTATTAAATTTTTCTACCCTCTATCTTTTCCATATATCTATATAATGAAGAAACGTTTGGCATTGAAATGGAATTTTAATATTAGATCAGATTTGTTCACAAATCACTGCAACCATTTCATTCTGCCTCTACCAATCTCTGTAACTAGAGAATTTACCTCTTGAATACATTTTCAGGCAAACGACTTTTATTGATGAAAAAAGATGTGACGTTGAGTGAAAATGCTATTTTGAGCTTTACGCCAGAAACAAATACTTGGAATAATTTCCCTGGGGTGAGGTGATTTTTGCTGTGATAAAATGGTAAAAAAACATTCAATATAAATAATATATGGTTCAAGGAAAATATAGACTCTTCTCACACTATCATGTCATATTGGATTGTAAACTCTGTTATCAATAACAAAAAAGTTCTTATGCCCAGTTTCGAGTTTTAGTTTTCGTTTATGCTCAAATTTTTCTGGTTGCCAAAAATTTAACTTGTGTTTGTATTAATTCCTGAGATAGTTCTTAGAAAAGAATAGAATACAAGGAATGCATCCTTGGTCTCGAGATTGAAAAAAAAAAAACGCTAAAGACTTAATAAATAGCATCAAATACCAAAATAATAGATTTATATACCGGTATATATGTTTCAGTGGAACACAAAATAAGGATTATGTCACAATGTTCTAAAATAATGATGAATGAGTGTAGAGCAGCAGTTCCCAAACTATGAGTTGCGACCCACTGGTGGGTCGCAAGAGGAATCTCAGTGGGTCGTTAAAAGATGTAGAAAACTTTGATTAATTATACTGGTTATTAAGATCGGTGGCAAAGCAAATTTAAAAGCAAATTTCGAAATAAACTGCAACAATTTTTTACGTCTAAAACTATCTAAAAATTGAAATAATTGTCAAGTCTATTATGGAAAATAGCAAGAAACAAGCTCATCTTTCTCACTAGCTTCACTAAAAATTTAATTTGTGAAAATAAATTTGTTTCCTCCATCAATGTTTTATTAATTTATTAAAGATAAAGCTGTGGTAAAAAATAGTGGGTCCCAACTCTAAAAAAGTTTGGGAACCACTGGTGTAGAGTTTCCTCTACACATGTTGACCTGTTTAGTATTCAAATTTAATTTAAACTTTATTTTAGGGATCGGCCTTCTCTGCTGTTTCATGTGCTGTCATGGATAACAAACTTTATGCTGTTGGCTCCACCCTTGAAATGAGCATTTTGGATTTGAACAATAATAAATGGTCAACTGTTGATGGTGATGGTGTGGATAGGGGAAATTTTGCTCTTGCGGTTCATCAAGGTTTTTATTCTATTACTGATTGGATAGGATTTACATAATCATCCCAGGGGATATGAAAGTTGATAAGAATGCTTAATCACATGGAGAACCACGACCTCTCATCCGGTTACCAGTCCATGGGATTGGCTTTCCATGGGATTTGCATTCGAAATTATTAATTTCGAATATGAAATTTCGAAAACATTCGAAAATAAATTCATGTAAAGTGAGCTTATCTTAATGTATGAACGAATTTGCGTACAATAAACAATGGAATAACTGTTATCTACAAGCTAGCTACCAGACATTTTATGTCCGCCGATTGCCGAGATATTTGATAGTAGTATGCCGTTTTACTTTCATAAGTACGATTATAATAGGGCAGTTTACCATACATTTTACGTCCGCAGATTGATGTGGTATTTTAAAATTGTAATGCTTTTGTTTTTCGTGAGTACGAAAATAGTAATCAAAAATTTATTATGATCGATCAGTTTACCACACATTTTATGTCCGCAAATTGCCGCGTTATTTTAGAGCAGTAATGTTTTTATTTTTTCGTAAGATGACGCAACCATGAGTAACTTTGAACAGAATTAAATTAACACGGCAAGGCATTTGAAATACTGTTATCGTCATGGATTTGAATATTTTGCGCAACATAAAATCATCCTAGTTGAAAGTCTATATTTTTAACTATCATCATCAAAATTATTTGCCAAAAGCGGGAAAAAGTATAAATTATTTTTCTGTGAGTACGAAATTACGGATCAAAAACTAATTATATTCGGGCAGTTTACCACACATTTTAGGTCCACAAATTGTCGCGAAATTTTAGAGTTGTAATGCTTTTGTTTTTCGTAAGGACGAAAATAGGAATCAAAAATTAATTTACCACGCATTTTATCTCCGCAGATTACCGACACATTTTAGAGTAGTAATGCATTAATTTTTTCATGAGTCGACCCAACCACGAATTAGACTAAACACAATTTAACTAATACGGTAAGGCATTTTAAATGCTTGTATCTACCGTTCATGGATTTGAATATTTTGCGTAACAGAAAATTATTCTGGTAAAGGTTAGATACTTTAACTATCACTATCAAAATTATTTGCCAAAAGCGGGAAAAAGTGTAAATTATTTTTCCTGATAAATTAACTCGTTTTTTTTCGACTTGCGACAATTTATTGGGTGTCGTAATTTGTAACAAAGTGCACGAGTTTATTTAACTTATCTAATATCTGACTATGGATGGATCTATGCGAGACACGTGACTTAATGCAAATGAATGTGTGAATTAGAATGCCTTGTAAGGGAATGGCGACAGTGCCAATCACGTAAACACGCAAATGTGTCGCAACAATACGAGGCGCACGCTCGCACAGGAGATAACAAACTATCGAAGTCCCAATACTATTTCACCGTCATTGAAACACATGACAAAGAGCGGAATATCGTTTGAAGATTTCCCCCAAAATTGAAACACCTCGCTGATGGCAAAAAGTGGCTAGCATTCGGAATTATTCGAAAATCAGCCGAAAAGGTATTCGAATACTTTGAAATTCGAATATTTGATTCGTTTTGGACAACCCTGCCTCTCGCACATAATTATATTCTCACGGGATTTAAACATGCAGACCTATGCATGGTAATCAGTTGTGTGTTGGCGAGGGTATCCTAACATTTAGCACGATGCGTCACACCGCCGAGCCACTCACTAAATAAATATTTGACTTATCTGCAGACAACCAGTATTGGTAGTTTAGGCACTCTTCTTTAGGGTGAACACCAAGTAGTGAATCATTTCGTGGGTTATTTTTTTTTACCGGTAATTTAAAATGAGAAATGGTGCCATTCAGTATGGCATTCAATCCTAGTTTGGGAAATTATTCAAAAAAAAATCAAAACTATCATTTTTTCTCATTTTATAAACCATCTTTATCGTGTTTCGTCCTTTGGGTATGAAACTCTTGATTTGTGAGCTTTGATGATTTTTACTCCCCAATGTTACTGAATCTGCCTACTGGAATTCAACATTAACTTTTATTTGCAGGCGATTTATTTTTGGTTGGTGGTAACGAACCCGATTCTTACCGATCCGTTTCTAGCTATTCGTCAATAACCCAACAGTGGAAGGAACAGCCCAGCATGAATAAACGAAGATACCGTCTTACTTTAAATTCATTAGGAGGTATACATCATATGTTCGAATCAATGTATAATTATTGTTGGCGCAGCAATCTGGATATTAGATATAGCCAGTCTGAAGACTGATACAATTTGATACACATTACTTTTTATTTAAAATATTTTGTCTTCTGATATTAATAAAGACAATTAAGGTAATTTCCAAGTTCTAATGTTCCAAGTCAAGTTTGGTCAGATTGTCTTGCTGGATTTTTAGTTGAACCATTACACCAAGGCTCTACCACATGTACCATGTAATTTGCATATAAAATTTAATAATCTTATTGTTGCTTATTTTGAAAAGGATAGTAAGTTATATGAAATTTTTATCTTCAATAAGGTGCTTTGTATGCATTTGGCGATGAGGCTCCTGAGAAATTTTTCAAAAATGTTTGGAGTCCAATACAGAATTGTGTTCATAGCGATCACATCAAGGTTTCTACTGTAAAAGATGGCCTAATCTATGCTATTGGTAACTACTCTCTTATTGTATTTCATAAGCGTTGGTGAATGTATTCTCAGACTTTGTGTAAAAACCTTCGCATACGATCTGATTTGAATTTGTGTTTCTCAAATAAATAAAATCCCATAAAAGCAAGTCATCAGTTTTTTTTTTAATTTATAAACTCAGTCTCGCCACCTTCTGTACATAAATATAATTGTATGAAAATTATCCGATTTATAAGAATTAGCTGATTAACTATTGCAATTCAGCTAAATCTAGAAAATATGGAATTGAATGGCTAATTACAAATTCATCTGTTAGTAAACTTGATTTCACTGCCAATATAAAGAAGGAATTGAACAGAGTGAAACAGGCAAATACCCAGTGCTAAAATGATATCGCAATTTGCAAGTATGAGTTACTCAGCTCACAAATAAAATCAGTTTATTCATGTTGAGAAGGAAAGTCACACAGCAGCAATATATTCAATATTGTAAATTTATTTACTGTCATTTACTCATATGCGTTGAAATTCTGCTCCCTCTTGGTAATTTAAATTATGAAATTTCAATAAAAACAGGCCAGCGTAAGACACATCCTCAACCTGATGTATTTATGAACATCTATCATCCAGCTGATAATTTTTGGAGTTGTCTAAATGACTTCGCCCTGTCATCAGGAATTTCAGGAGTTTGTAACATCAGTGGTGAATTATACTTTGTTCGCTTGTAAGTTTTTTTAAGAAGTTTGCCATTACCAAATTCGCTATCAGTAGTTTGCGCTTACATGAGGTTTAATGGATAAAACTAAAATGAAAATTTTCAAATGCGATTTACGGTAACTGTTTTTTTGTCAGCTGTATTTAATAAGAGTGGAAACCCAACTCTTAATACTCTAACAAGACAGCCTTTTACAAATCTTGATTTAAACAAATGTTAATTTTGGAGAAATTTATAGAATAGCGAAAGTTGTTACTTAAAAATTGATTGGAAAGAGGAATGACGAGAGGATGTTTTAATCCTTTATTGAACCACAGCCACAGACAGTAAAAAGCTGAGACACTTCAGCTATTCAGGTATTTGCCCATAAATATGGACTTTATGATGAAAAGAATAGTAACTAGGCGGTAAAGTGAACTCACTACTCAATGAAAAGTAGTCTGGCAAGCCTTTTTACATGAGATTTGAACCATGGGACACACACAATGTAGTCAGCGGTACTAAAATATTTCTATCGCCAAATTCCCTATTTTTTTCAAAATCATTTTAAACATTGTCATTATCTATATTTTAAGTGATGTTCAGCAGAAAAGTTCAATTAGAAGAATTGATCTTGAAAGGAAGTCTTTTATCATCGTCTCACAAAAGTTTGATGATTGGAGCAATGTTTGTTTGGTTGCTTATTAAGTTTTTGTCATAACAAGTTGCTTAATCAGGCAGATATTTTTTTTATCATTGAACTTCTCCAATATTTTATTAAATCGGATTTCTTCGCATACTGATATTTAGTCATTGTTTAGTTTTAAATCTCATTCTGACATTTTGATTTTTTGTCCAACATAAAGTGAAACTAAATTAAGAAATTATAAATATTCCTAAACCCTTCTTATTCTTTCTCTTTTCGCATGTTGTATTACTGTTGACAATTTTTATGCACTATCATGTGATATATTTTTTTCTTGTAATTTTAAGCCTCAATTTAGTATGTTTTGAGAAATTGATTTATGTGGCCTCGTAACCGGGCTTAAAACCCCAAATTTTTTTTCTTTTTACTCCAATCATGATATCTGCTTCAGAGTGTTTTATCCCGAAACTTTACTTAGGGGTCAGCTGACCTTGAAGTCTTTCCCGCCCTCTTCCGATTATATTTCATGATTATTGTTTGTTTATTCTACTGCAATATGTAATGAAATATTCGGAAATAAATCATTATCTATCTATCCAATATGAAAGTTTTTTATCAAATCCTGTAGAACTATTGAACAAAAAGGATAGAAACACGATAACTCCTGGTTTTATGATTATTCCTATTGTTATTATTTCTGTTCAAGAGCTGTCTACTGCAGAAATGATTTGACATAATGTTTTTATAACTGATCAATAATACTCTTTACATTCTAATATATCATTTACTAACCATTTTATGGAATATCTGTTTACTTTTATTTTGCTCATAATTTTACTTTGTCTTCTTATCATTATACGCAAACCAATTTTGTAGCCTACCTTACTTGGCAAGGTTAAAACAATTTTTTTAACCGTTTTCATTGCTATAAGCGCTTGTTAATAAAGCACATGTATCTTTTACATAATTTATTTACTTTCCACCGATGGTACATGTAATTTGAGTCATGTTTCAGGAGTTAATTCAATAAAACATACATGTATATCAGCTCCAAACAACATTGATACAATCCTTGAGATTGATTTAACGATGTTGCTGAATTTTATTAAAACTATGTTCTTAAGCTTAATATGATTTGTGGTTATGTTGTCAGAAATGTTTAACATTTTTTAAAATTCTAAATTTCATTTACTATTTCCTAATTTTAAATTTATGTATTTAAAATGTACCAGTAGCGCAATGTAGATAATGGATGCAATTATTGGCATATGTCACACGAGTTCTCAAACTTTTGTGTTATGGATTCATTGAAAAGTATGACTATTATTTACAGAGCCTCTGAATAAATTTGTAAAATAAAAACAAGGAACGTATTGTTAATTAGGTACTGAATAATGTCCCTAAAATTTTATTTACTCAAATTCAAACTGCTGATAATACGATTTGTTTAAATAAGCCTGGTAGCGGTGTTGTATTCTATTATGTCTTGATTCATTTTTGACTTGATGTGAAACAGGTTGTTGTTGTTGTAATCTGCTAATTCGCAGATTTGGATATGTTTGGTGCTGTTTTTAGGATGCTAGGGTTATTGTGAGGTTTTTTCATATTTATGCCAACAGAGATGAAAGTTGGCAAGATGGGTTTTTCATACAGTGAACAACAGCATTCCGTCTAGTTACCAGTTTTTCATTCCAAATGTTTGGGCGTGGATGATGGGGGGAGATGTTTTTGACCAACGAAACTGCAGTGGCGAGCAATCACTCATAGATAATCATGTTCAAGGTTATTTGAAACTGAAAGCTCACATTGAAACCATGATGTTAGGCTAAGATTTCTAACTTCGAATTTTTGAAAACTACATTGAAATAAATTGTCTTATATATATAGGTTGTTAACATCAAACACAAAAAGTTTTACAATGCCAGACCAAACAACAAATTTGGCAGTTGGCTGATTGTAAATGTTGGAATATGTTTTCCATTGCACAACTGAATTTGTGTAAGGGTTAACAGGTTCGAATCCCATTAACAATTATGGGTGGGAGCTTTCCAATATAAAGTCTATGCAACTGAAACTATTGACGGATTAGGTAATCCAATACAAATTCTCAACTTGCAACAATATTCGGAAGGCTAAGGTCCGCCATATGAGTTCCCTGATCAACCTTTCTCTGTCCTCAATAAGTAGGTAGAACTCCAACTCTACTCTCCAACTCTGGCTATTTGTACTGAAATATTGTCGAGTGCTTTGAGAATAATTCACTTACACATTCGCTTTATAGATACATTCAAAATACAATTTATTTTCAATTTCATTTTAGTTTCTTTTTGCCATGAACTAAACCAGTTTTAAATTGCTCTATATTCTTTTCTTAGAATAAAACTGTACATTTAGTTATAAAATTCTAGCATTCATTGATTCACTATATATCATAGTTTATGCCATGGCTTCTGAATTTGAAAGTTCCGTGGAACCAACACAATCACAAAGACTGATGTCATCACTTGAAAGGTTGAGAAAAAGCAAATTTCTCTGTGATTTTGCTGTTAAAATCGGCGATAAATCATTTCTTGTCCATCGCACAGTTCTTGCTGCTTCTTCAGAATATTTTGAGAGAATGTTCGCAAGTAACATGAGAGAAGTCAGTGATGGTTTTGTTATTATGAAGAACGTTGACCAGGATGCAATTGCGCATTGTATTGACTTTATGTATACAGGAGATATCAACTTTACAAGTGAAAATATTGAACCAATTTTGCATGTGTCCTGCATGTTACAAATGATTGGCCTGAGAAACCGTTGCTTCAAACATTTGCAAAGTCATTTGTCTCCTAGAAACTGTATTTCTGTGATAAACTTGGCTAAAATGTATCGTCAAAAAGCCTTAATAAAACAAGCCGAGAACATTATTAGCGAAGATTTTGACTCGTTTGTTTCATCAAAGATGTTTCCATCTGTTGAGAAATCTGATTTATTGCGGTATATTCGATTTTCGCATGTGACTTATCAAACGTCATGGCGAGCTGTGATAACTTGGGCAAAAGCAAATAAGGAAACCAGGGTTGAAGATATTATTGAACTTATAAAATCCATTAATATAAGTGGATTTCCTTTCAAATTCATCCTTGAAACTGTCTTGAATGATTCTTTCGTTAAGAGGAATTTAGAGATAAAGAAATCAGTGATATGTTTGCTTTTCTCTGATGTTGAAAATGTTAAAAGAAATCTTAATATTGATAACTGCTTTGTTCTGAAACAATTAGCAGAAAATCAAGATCTTAGCAATGGATTTGTGATTCAAAATGTCATAAGAATCTTCATGGCTCAAAATTTTGAACTCATAATCAAAAAAGAAGAGTTTTTGGATATTCACAAAGATGATATTGTTTTTCTTTATGAGTCTCCTCATACAATATACTCCATGGAAACCAGCAAATGGTTTGCAGCTTTGAAATGGGTTAAGAAGGATCTTAAAAGCAGAAAACGCAATTTTTCTGAAATATTTGGTCTCATTAAACTTGGAAATATTTCATCTGAATTTCTCAAACATGAAGTACGATCTGAATCTCTGGTTACAAAGTCAGAAAAATGCAACAATTTGCTCATGAATGAATTGTTTTCTCGCTTAACATCTGGACCAAATATCCAAACTCAAACCAAAGACTCAACTACAAATGTGCATGTGGACTCTACCAGAAAAAGTAATTACGTTTACTTGGATTTGGCTATATTGCAGTGAGATCTTTGTCATATTTTACCCCAAACAATTTGTAAATATTATAATTTTGATTAAAAAAACTTGAAAAATTAAAAACAAAATGAATTGAATGATCTAACTCTATAATACCAATATGTTTAGATTAGGAATCATTGTTTGTATATTTTATTCTTTTATGTAGATTTTTCCCTCTTAATTAACTCATATCATAATATAACTTACCGGTAGGTATCTATCAGTTGGGGTTGCGCGAGATTACCTTCCCTTGCTCTATGTCTTTGGGCCAGTAGATTCGTATTTGTATAATGCAAGGATGCTGTAGCAAAAATAAAGATGATCATTATATTTAATATAAGAGTCTCGCTGCACACTAATGCAAATTTATTTCCGTAATGTTTCATCTGACGAGACTTTGACATATCATTTAGTATGAATCAAATATCATAATATAACTAATGTCTAATTTAACTTCTCTGTATTTGTATTATCTGTGTGTAAAGTTTCATTTTGAATGATTGCTATTTATTTTAGGAAAGACTCACAAAATTAGTAATCAACAACCACCCAATGGCACAATGTCACAGAAAGCATTATGGCATATTATGCCCGGTTATATAGCAGTGGGATGTTTTGAATTAACCTTTTCTTTCCCCCATGGATATTTACAGGTATTTTTCGAAATGAAATATTGAATGTGTAAATTAAACGTCAAATTATAACATACCCCTTTTCGTAATTATTTTTTATTACTATTTAATTGTTAGAACATCTAAAATGGTTATTCTAATAATAAATACTGATAAAAATACTCAAAGTGTATCCAAATTTTCAGGATCTATTATATCATGCTGATAGCTTTTGTGCTTATTTACCTGATGACCCAGAAGGGTGGGAACTTTGCAACTTATTAAGACAAACGTTCAAAGCTGAGTTGCTTTTTGACATTGAGAATATTGATGGCCAGACGGGTCAGATTGTGTGGAATAAAGATATTCCTGTTAAAACCAGCATTTATGGAGGACCAGCAAGGTCGGTAGTCTTTGAATAGCTATCCTACACTGATGTTACTCAGTATGATGTGCGCCGCTATGCTGTTACCGAGGGTTACCTCATCTGTACTTTCCGTTGCCCGGAGCGTGTTTTTTTGTGATGGATTTGGTTTTTGAACATTATTCTTTTCAATTACATATATTTGTTCGACTTCTTTCTATTCTACCTGTATCAAAGTTAGACTTTTATCACGGTGTTGATGCTCGATAACCAACATTTTTCGAGCATCCTTCATTGTGAAATGCCATTGTCCTAGTTTTTGTTTGCATCAAGTGTATGTCTATTTTGGTGAAAAATAAACTAATGACTGACTGAGTAGGGGTCATGGATGCCTATTTCATTGAGTCTATAAATAGTTTCCCAGGACAAAAAAATTGGACAGTAATGTAAAGCAGTGTATTACAATTTGTATTCCCGCTAATTGATTTTCTCAATTTCACCAATGGTTTGATTACATAAGAAGCATATACAGAGGTGGGAGCTTCCATGCTTGTTCCCAAAACAATATTATGGCTTTACACTTATCTATATATTATTCTGTTTATCTTTTTTTTCAAATTTACACCCCCTCGAATATTAATCTCGCTGATTCTAAATAAAGCACAAACGGTGTTAGCAAATCGATTTAATTTGCCGACGTTTCGTATTTCTATATCATGCCCTGATGAAGTTTTTCTGAATTGAAATTTGAAACGTCGGCAAATAAAATCGTTTTGCTAACACCAGTTGTGCTTTATTTATCATCAATATGAATTCACCTGGTTGAGAGAACTAGTTTATTAATTTTTGTTGTTTTTGTGGTATTAACTTTTATTTTTGAACAAATATCTGTTTTTATTTGAACATTAAATTTACATGACTGATTGAACTTCTTGTTTGGTTTTAGAAATGGTTATCCTGATCCAGGATACCTAGGTCGGTTACGTTCTGCATTGAAGGCAAAACTGTCATTCTTCAAACCAAAAACAACTCCAGAAGAAAACAGTGCAGTGCTAGTTCCTGTTTACTCAAGCCTTATCAACGAGAGCGAATTTATGTCTGAAGAGAGTGATTACGATGCTGATACTGAATATTGAAATCCTTGCATTTCTGCTATCATATATAAAGAAAACAGTGCAGTGCTAGTTCGTGTTCTTCCAGATTGGGATTCAGATATTTTATTCCGTCGTGGAATATTCTAACGACACAAGTAAACAATTATAATAATAAATGATCAATTTATATCAACAAATATACAATATTTCCACAATCGAAGAGGGGTCGCGAAGGACTACTGAAGTCATCGTATCAGTGACACCTCCACGCTAGCTAGTGAGCGTAAACTGATTTCCGAAGACAGTTACTATAATGTTAATATTGAATAATGAATTTATTTTCAAACTTTCCAACTGGAATTTCCCTCTAGTTATAAATAGAATATAGAATATGCGCAGCCAAGAAAACTTTATTTCAGTTTTTTATAATCTATGATTTGAAATCATTATTTGCTTTGTGTGTTCATAACTTATAATTTTACAACATCAATTCACTTCACCTTGATTGAAGAGTTTTGCTGCAGACCAGTTGGTCAGTTATTTGTTTCCGCTAGCATGGACTATTGATGGTTGAGTGGTTACGTGAACCACCCTACGGCAGCGAGGAGTCCAGCAATCCTTTTGCACATGATCACCCCCGCTTGGGATTTGAACCTGCAAACCCACACAGGGTAATCAGAGATGCGGTGGCGAGTGTATTCCTAACGCTTAGCACGGTGCGCCACACCGCCGAGCTATAGCCATGGTCATAGATTAAAATGAGTGCCTGAAGAGATTGATCAGACGAAACATTACAAAAATACATTTGTGTTGATGTGCAGCAGGACTCTTGAATTGCATTTTATGGTATTTTATTCCTGCTACAGCATCCTTGCATTATGCACATACGCATCCACTTGCACAATGGTATAGAGGAGGGCTACTCAACTGGTGGACCACAGTCCTAATCCGGACCCTTCGAGTATTAAATTTGAACCAAAGCTGCTTGATTTCAAATGCATTGTTTTTTCTGCTATCTCATAATCATAATTCTATTTTCGCTAAACCATTGAGGAATAAATTTTCATAGCAATATAAGTTCCTCAGATCATCTCCTCACTTGTTTACCCTACTCGCGTTGGCTAATCAGCAAGATGTCGATGGGGGCGTAAAACGGGTGCTATGGGGACGAATATTTCAGATCTTCTCAGCAAAGTCAGCTCTCAGCTACACAACTGAAGCCTTGCCATACCGGCACTGAAGCGCGATACTTAACATTGCTCTTGTACTTAATAGGGTATATTTTTAGAACGATCGGACCCCGGTAATTTTTAAATTTTGAACCTTCAGTAAAAATGGTTGAGTAGCCCTGATATAGAGCAAGAAATGGTAATTAGTCTTGTGTAATATAATTCATTCATTGCATATTTTTTTCCTTGTTGCGCTTATGTAATTCTAATGCCATTCCCTGTAAATATAATTTCTAAGTTTTGAATATGATTTTTTCTGCATCGATACAAGTTTTCAATTTTTTTTCAATAATGGTGACCTTGTAATGAAAACAATAAATCAAGTTTGACTTTTCATGATCTGTAATGCTGTATTTTTATGTTTATTCACTTTTAACTCGAAGTTAGGCCATATTGGATAGTTTTGTTTTCAAATTGTCTGTATTTGTCAAGTCATATCATAGGTATACAGGTGTCGCTGCACGATAACCAGTGTTGCTTTCTAGCACCTTCAACTGAAGTACCAGTGAATGAACTAATTGAGGATATAGGATAAATGAACTACAGATTGTACTACTGGGTTCAAGCCCTCCACCTCACCATAGCGCATTATAATATGGTGATAAAATAAATTACTGACTACTGCCCATGCCAAATCCAAACCACTCCTCAACTTTCATCGATGTGCTTTACATTTTGAAAATATGTGTTTTATTATGCCATATATAAATGGCAGAACCTCAAACATTTTTAGGCCAGGTATATATTAGAGATGTATCGGTATCAGCAATATCGGCCATTTTTTTCGGTATCTGCCATGTATCGGTATCGGTTAGATTAGGGCCGATATTTCCGATATATTTACCTTTTTTGATATGGTTCAGAATGTTTTAAAAGATTAGTTGGAATACTACTTCTCAATTTATTTTTTGTCCGTAGAGATCGTGAGCTATGAGCCATACATGTCCCCACCCCCGCGAGAGAATCGGATTCACGTGTTTTTACCTATTTATCAGCCAAACTAGCTCAACTAATTTGGCTATTTTCGTTGTCAAATTTTTATATTGACATTTTTAATATTACATAGTAATAATGAAGAAATATATCAACACAGCACATAACAAAAAGCAACTAGGCGCCCAGTTTTGAATCAGTGGAACAGTGGAATTGGGGTCCTTATTAACGGCACATAGACTTTTGGCACGGGTATCAATTCTGACTGTTTGTCGTCAAGTACGAGTGTCATTTAGTCCGTCGACATCGATAAACTCTATTACGACACAATTATTTCTCTACGCAGGTATTAATTTTAATTTTGTTCAACTACACAATTACTTTATAGATATATTGACATGACCGCCTAGACTGTCTCAAAATATATAATAGCAATTGTAAAATATTATAAACTAGTAAAGTAGAAAAACAACCTCGACGGTTATAGGTAGGCCTTTTTTTTGTCGGTGCTAATTGATATTCTTTCATGTTGGCTTTGACTTATTGCATCGACGATTACGATTAGCCACGAAATAAAATATTTGTAAAATGCTATTAATTTGAACGCAGGACGGCGGCGCTAGAATGTGTGGGTGATATTCGATATTCTTTTAAAAACGAATACCGATATTCGAAAGTCGCGATATTAACATTAAATTCAAATTGGACGTCCCGGCTTATGAGTTTTCTAATTGAACACCGAGATTACTAGCGTTACTGTACAATGTATCTTAATCAGTTGAAGCAAACACCAAACATTAATTTCATATTATGTGATATATCTTTTTTTCGATCTGAAATAATGTGTACTAAGAACAACGCTCAAAGACCATTGTTTTAACCCGTCTGCCCTACACAGCACCCCTAATTAAATAATAATTACATAGTATCGGAATATCGGCATTTTTGTAGTATCGGCGTATCGGTATCTGCGTTTTTAGATGGTATCGGATCGGTATCGGCGACAAAAGTGGTATCGGTACAACTCTAGTATATATATCCCTATTCCACTTTGCTTTGATTTGTTTATAGAGGACCAGAAGTAACACATCAAATACTTCGAAAAATTTTATAATATTTTCAAATGTTTATTTGCGTGATCTGTCAAAAACTGCCCTCACCTGAAGCCTTTTTTACATGACTTGCAATTTTCCCATGCAATTTTACTGTTCGCTATTTTGATCAATCAATCACATTGTTTTTTATTAGACATTCAGGCAAACAGGCATAATAAATTGAAAGTAAGATAAATTTGAAGAAAAAATTAATTTGGGATCACCAATCCAACCTCTTTCGGTTTCCTATTACCTCCATTTTTACAGGAAAACTGTGTTTGTTACCATTTTGCTAATTTTTTCTGCATTTGTTTTCATTTGTCTTAAAAATGAACTGGATGATGTCCTCTTGAGGCTTGTGTTGTATGATTACCAACCAACTTGAACCAAGAAAACGTTTAGTCGAATTTTTTATCCTATGTATACGTATATATTTTGTAATCATTTAGAATATTTAACCTGGTACACACACTACAAGAGTACCCAAATTTTGGGATAAAATAAAGTATGATTATAGCACTGAAGGGAGGAAATAATTATCAGTGAGACAGCGCATATGTCTAACACTGCATTTTGCCCTAGTCTTAGTTAAAATATGGTATGGAAATCAATTAAATATTAGGGGGTTAAAGAGTGAAACAGCAGTCGAACATAGTGAAATTAAATAAATTACCTTTGGATGTCAGGATTGTCCTGCAAGGGTATTATTTTCATGAGAGATTGCTGAAATGAAACAATAACTATGGTGTTTTATAAGATTTTTAAGCAGTAACATTTTATTCAACCATTCCATACAGTATGAGGAAGGACAAAAGCCAATGTGACTTCTCAATAAAAGCAGGATCTGAAGAAATTTTCGCTCATAGGAATATACTCTCTGCTGGATCTGATTACTTTAAAGCAATGCTTTCTCACGATGTAAGTAAAATAAGTTATCATTTTTATCCTGAGGGAGAGAAAAGGTGATAAGACAGCTCAATTATATAGTGTACTATGGCTTTCATCTGATTACCATTCCATGTCGAGTTTGGGATCAGTTAGAACAATGTCTGTAACTCTATTGTTTGCAAAAATTTTTCAAAATTTTTTTAAGTTTGAGTCAAGAGTTAACTTTTTCTCAACCCAGCGTTGGGGTCGATTGTGATATTTTCGCAACCCACAGTTCTGGTTCGGATAAAATTGCTGATTCTCATACTTTGCTGGTGTGATTTCCATTCAATTAGGTATGAGAGGACTGCTGGACTCTCTGTCATTGCCAGGTTGTTAACTATCTACCATCCAAATTGGGAAGATAAATAATCGAGAGACCATGGTTCGGTATATGAATAAACAATCTCTATTTCTTCTTGAATATAAAAATCTAATCCTACTCGTCTTCATTTATAAAAAATGTCAAAATATAGTGCACAGCATAGTGTTGAATAAAAATGTTTACATCTTTCTCAGACGAAAGAAAGCCAGGCTGGTTTTGTTGAGATAAAGAAAGCAAGTCCAATTTGTGTGGAAAAATGTATCGATTTTATATACACTGGAACAGGATCTGTAGCTGATGGAGATCGTCAAGATTTGATGTATGTGGCTCATATGATGCAACTACAACGTGAGTTGTGAAATAAACTACCGTGTTTCCTTGAACAATGTCTTACTTCAATTTTCTTTGAAAAATGACCCTAGGGCCTATTTTTGGGGATGTCTTTTTTTTCATGTATTATTAAAAGCAAAATTACAAGGTGGGAAATTATACATAACAGGAAAACCAATATTCATTTACTTATAAATAACTGCTAAACATCTATTATTGATCATTTAAAATGTGTAGGAGAGATTTTTTGCTATCAACTAGGTCAAAAAAATTTTCGCGCGATCGACTAGGTCTTTTTTAAAAGGGAAGTAATCATTTTTAAAATCCAGGCGTAGTTGCTCCCTACTTAAATATATATATCAGTGGGTGTCTGGACAGGGCCTTGTTTAAACCAAAAGCTGAATAAGTGTCATAACTCATAATTATGGGAAAATGTGGCAACTGTTCCTTCGTAGTGGAATCCTCATACCATGATATGTTCACAACTAGTACAATCCTCCCGATTAGAATAAAGATTATTTGGTGATTGTGAAAAAATCAAAAATATAATTTAACCTTTGAATCTTGACTTGGCAGTATGGCCCATCACGCTAACTGTTAAGAATTTGCTTTCCATTGCAACTCTGACTCCCCTTTTGCAGGTTCGAATACTGTAGAAACAATTATGCGTGAGAGAATTGCTGGACTCCCCGCCGCCGTAGAGTGGTTCATGTAACAGAATATTGGCAAACTTCAACAAATAACTGGCTAACTGATACCATACCCGACATGGACCGGTAACTGAACTAGAGGCTGTTGTATACCATATGTGGCACGACGGTGTGCCTCATCGTGCTAAGCGTTATGAATACGATTGCCACCGCACCTCTGATTACTCTGCGTGGGTTCGCATCCCGTGCAGGGATGGTCATGTGCGAGAGGATTGCTGGACTACTCGTGGGCCGCCGTAGGGTGGTTCACATAACCGCTGGTTCGTTAGGGCTTCCTCCACCATCAAGTACATGCTGCTGAAAACAAACTAGCCGGACTGGTAACCGGATGAGAGGCCGTAGTTCGCCATATGATTAAGCCGACTTATCGACTTTCCTCTCCCGGGATAAATATGTAAATCCTATCATCCTGTCTCCTAGTCTTTCTTTCTCTGGGAATATGATAATACTATCCCATTCTCATAATGATGAGCTGTAAACCAAGTTTGTTGCCTACTTATATGATAAAAGTAAAACATATTTGAATATTGATAAAGCAAATTGCTAGACCCTTTCAATTAGTTTTTCATTAACTATATGAAATATATATGGTCAGGGCTATGTGATGGAATTGCTGTATTTCTGGAGAACGATTTGTCACCTGAGACCTTTGTCTCAACAAAGCAAATAGCAAAAATGTTTAATTGCAAAAAATTGGAAAATCATTGCAATCAATTTTCTCTGGAGAATTTTCGATTAATTGCTGTTTCGGAGGATTTTAAGGACCTGGAAAAGGATGATGTTTCTTTTCTTGTGACTTCCAAAGAGGCAAAGGTTTGTATTATTTCAATGATGTGTTTAGCATTATATTCTGATTGATTTCTTGTGTATCCAGCCATTTAGATGTAGTATGTTGAAACTTGAAACAGATGTTGAAAAGACTGTACAAGTGTTTTGCATTTGGCATGAACTATTGTATTTCTGGCGTTCCAGAAGTATGGTGGTTGGTGGTAACTAATTTGGTTCGCCTACTTCACATGAAGTTGTTTAAATGGACTGACATCTATGGGCAGGGGGCATATTCACTTGGCTAACACAGACAGTCACCGAACTCGTAATATAACTAAAATAAGGAATAAAATTGTGGCCTAACCCTAACCTGGTAACCACACTACGGGAGTACCGCATTTGTTAGGTGAGGTGTAGAGCTTGGGCGTGAACCCAACAGTATAATCAGTAATCAGTAGTTCATTTTTTCACCCTACATGAAATACACTTCATGAATACAGAATGGGAGACGCCAGAAACCAATACTGGTTATCGAGCAATGACACCCTTATACCTATAGACGATATTTTTATACTGTACTGTTAGTTGTTATGGGAACATTTACCAATTCTATGTATCTAGATGTTATATGGTCAATTTTTTATGAAAGGTCGCCAACTGAATGTGAAGTTCATATTTAAGATATTACCTTGCTGGAATTAGTGAGAAGTTTTATGATTTGCTGAAATAATGTATAATATGAAGTTATCAGGAGCAAGACTGCAAGCATTACTACAGAAGGGAAACAAAAAGCGACATATGCTTCTTTATAACATTATGCGATTTGTGTCCTATTCCTTCATTTCTTTTTTATCTTACCTATGATTACTATAAAGAAGAATCATATTTTTCAGGCAACCGTTGATGATAAATGTAAAGCCTTAATTCTATGGGCTCAATATGAATCAACTGAAAGAGCTTTGGTTTTTGAAGAGAATTTTAAATTGCTTGATTTGAGTAAAATGCAGAATGAATACATGAGATATTTGCTAGAGAATGAGGTATTTATTGCTGTTTCTTAGATTGTGTGTCTCGATCAATTGCCTTGGTGTTGACCATCCTGTGCAGGTTCTGTTTTTGTGGTTGTTTATCACGTTTGAGACTCTTGACTCCACATTGTTGCTGAGAGGGTTCAATGTCTGCGCATGCATTCGAAAAAAAAAGCTTGTTTCTTGCTTATAAAATTTTTCGCAATTTTTCTGTTAATTTCACCTGTTAAATATAACGAGCTATATTTTGTACCCTCATTCCCTCTCCCTCCCCACTTCATAAAGATTTCCAATCTTTTTAATACTTCATGGACAAACAGTACATCTCCCCAGTGATTTCAACCTTTATGCTGACATTCCATCTTTCAGAAACCTCTCTCTCACCTAGCTGTTTTACCGAACTACAGTTATTAAATTTTTTATCACCCTCTTCAACCCAGCATGTAAACAGTACATCTCCCCAGTGATTCCAACTTTTATGCTGACATTCCATCTTCCAGAAACCTCTCTCTCACCTAGCTGTTTTACCGGACTACAGTTATTAAATTTTTTATCACCCTCTTCAACCCAGCATGTAAACAGTACATCTCCCCAGTGATTCCAACTTTTATGCTGACATTCCATCTTCCAGAAACCTCTCTCTCACCTAGCTGTTTTACCGGACTACAGTTATTAAATTTTTTATCACCCTCTTCAACCCAGCATGTAGCTCCTCTGTCAGGTATTTAATTCTTGAGGAAACATGGCAATTCTTGCTTTAAGTCTACTCATCATTAAGGTAGAACTTTCCAGATGTACAGTGTAATTCAATTTATCGCCTGAATTGGACCCAGTTAAACGACAGCTCTTTATGACAAGAGCCTACTTATCATTTAATACAGAAGCTTAACCGTGCTTGAAACCCAGCGATATAAAAACCATTTATTAAAATAAATAACTTGTTGTTTCTAGCCACTTGTCTGTGACTCGAAACCATGCTGGAAAATCCTTTTTGCTGCACTGATGGACAAAGCGAAAATAAAATCTGAAGACCATATCATAAATGGTGAATGTGAGATGTTAGAGTTTTCTAGTTGCTGTATATCCTCACATATAAGCCAATGCCCTAAAACAGTGAATTTATAAATATTTGCATATTATAAGCTGATCTTACAATGGTACGTTCTTATCGCATGGTTCGAGTTTTAGCTGTTGAAATTAAATTGGCATAATGTAATTTCATTTGAGTGTTATCAGAGTTGGCACGTATAAGCCGACCATTTAGTTTTGCAACTCGGCTCATATTTGAGGATATACGTCAAATCCATAACTTTGATTGGGATTGTAAACAATCTCAATCTCGTTTTTAGCAAAGCGCACCATGATTTTTTATTTGAGCTGTGTTAATAGCTTCACTCCAACCAAGCTGCTAGTAATGTTTGTAAGGATCAAAATATTACAGGTTCTGTATTTACTGCACAATTTAATTCACCTTGGAGGTTGATTTTTGCGTGTACAATAACTTGTGGTCTCGAGTTAAGATCTTGAGTTCCCCATGACAGTCACCTTACCAATTTGTAATAATTTGCATTGTAAAACTAGCTGGTATGTTCAGTACAAAGTTTAGGTACCTCATATATGTTGTGTATCATAAGAAGAAAAAGTTTTATTCTCAGCCTATGTTCAAAAATATGCATGAAATTACCTAAATACAATGTTCTTGTATGTAAATTTACATGAAATTGCATTTTACTATAATCTGTGGAATGAATAGTCAGAATCGGTACTGCATGTTACTAGGTTAACTTTTTATTGTAAAAGTTTCTAAAATGATGTCCTATTTTCAGATAAACCGAAAAATCATGGTAAGCTCACTTCTATTATACATATTGGCTTGGCTTAAGGGCGGTCCAGAATTATGTGTCCCAATATGGAGGAAACTAATTTTGTGCGCCTACTTTACATCAAGTTGTATAAAGGGACTGAAACCTATGGGCTAGGGGTATATTCCCTTGACTAATACAGACAGTCCCCGAAATCATAGTAGCATTAAAATACGAAAAATCGGAATTAAGGTGTTCATAAACTAAAGCACATAAATATCATAAAAATGTTATCAGTTAAAAGAAAAGCAAAAACATCAAGATATTAGTAACAATGTAAAAGGATAGAAGCGGAAAGATTTCACCATCACCCTATACAATAGAACAAATTGTAATAAGTTTAAAAATATTTAAACCATTAGGCAAAGCACTTACATTTTATGTATTTTTAAATGCAATAATATAAAACTCGGATTTGTCATTCTCAACTTTGTTCAGTTGTTGCTGTGTTTGATAAAACTTCAAAGTCAATTCAAGGTTTAAATCTAGAAAACAATCAGTGGGTGAAACTGCAGGTATGTGATAATACAAGATTACAGGGTGTCCATGAAGTCTTTTACAATTTCAATTTTGTTATGAATCAGTTTTCAATATATCTTAACCAATAATTTGTTTTTCAATCAATATTGAAGTATTTTCACTTCATTTAATACAATCAATCAATCAATCAATCAATCGTTTATTTTGTCATCACAAAAAAACACGTTCAAACATAAAGTGACACAATGAATAAATTACAGTACTAATCATGTTTTTGCGTGACCGGAGTCGCGAGGGACCTAAGAAGGTCTTCAAGCAGCGACACCTACAGCGCTACAGGTTAGAATAAATATAGTTAAATGAGGGATAAAATGAATAAATCCTAGGAATAAGTCACAACTGATACAATTACAGCGACATTCGAAATGTATGCGATTATGACACAGTAAAACAGAAAATGTAACTTTCATCCGAGCAGGCCAAAGCAATATATGGTATTGATAAATTCTCTTTGCAATTTTGAAAAATTTCAAGAATTTATATCATCATGTTCTTCTCTTTATTGTAATTTCTGACCCAACCTGTTCTGGTGTAAATGTTAACAGCATTTATATACTTGAATAAAGCAAGCCATTGCTTGAATAAAACCACAGGGGCCATCTGTATTGTGTCAATGTTTTTCTATATGCTATTTACCAGACCTTTGATTTATGGTATGGACTTGATGATGGAACCGACCAGCAATCCTCTTGCACAAATTTATTCTCACATGGGATTCAAACTTGCGAACCCACACAGAGTAATCAGAGGTGCAGTGGCGAGTGAATTTTCAATGCTTAACGCTTAGCATGACGCCGAGTCGAAGAATACTTTTGTCTTGTTGAGTTCAAGGCGAAAAATTTCTATTATGAATTTCAGTTTTATGGTATTTTAGAGCATTACAGATGAGATTGCTAGTAAACAATTTGTGGCAGTCGTCATTGATGAAGATATTTACATACTTGGATACGATAAGACAAACTATTGTTTGAAAAACTATTCTGATCCTGAAGCAACTTGGGTTCGAGTCTCTGATCGGAAGTCAAATGGTAGACTGCGTGCAGTGACTTTGAATGGTGAGCTTTATTCAATTATTTACATTTCATTCACTAATTTGGCGCAGCGGGTGATGTTAAGTATTAAGGAGTTCACTTACCATAGTACCTCTGATTACCCCGTGTGTGTTCACAGATTCGAATTCTATTGGGGATAATTATGTGTGAATGGATTACTAGACCCCTCAGCTCGGTGGGTAGGTTAACGTAATGGATGGTCGGTTACGGCTTACTCCACTATCAAGTGCATGCATCTGAAACAAATAACTGGCTAACAAATGCTATACCTGAAATAAACTAGTAACCGGACAAGATGGCTGTGTAACACCATGTGATTAAGCCATCTTTATTAGCTCTCCTTTCCCTTGAATGAAAACCCTATCTTTTTATCAGGTAAACTTTATGTTCTCATTTACATTTTGTCCAGGTAATTTCATATTGGGATAGTAGTGGTCTGATCCTTTTTCTCCCATTCTTTAACTCACAAAAAATGACAGCATAGCATGATGGTATAGCCATGTGGGTAAAACCACTGAAGCATTACTTCCTATAAATACTGCCTGAGGTCATTCAGTCCGCAGGTATAGAAGAGGCTATAGCCTTTTTTTTTGATATTACTCATATTTCAGATATATATATATCCCTGCTTCTAATTTGATTCAAAATTTTCAAAATCAAGCTCAAGCTAAGTACAATTGTATGCAGTCTTCCACTAATGTGTTAAAAATATGTTTCAGGCATAATTTACGCTTTCGATGATTCTGATGATTACAGTTCAGCTGTTGAAAGTTTGCGAGCTCCAAATGAGACATGGCGGCAAGTGACTAAGAAACCGGTTTCATCCTATGAATGCTCACTTGTGTCGGCAAAAGGTTTGTTGTTTTTCACGATACATAAAAACTAACCAGACATGTAGAAGGTGATCTGAATAAGCTGTTATGTATTTTGTATTAACTCTAGGTGACGATAGCCTGTATAGTGTATTGACCCTTTTTCTTGGCTGAAATTATTCTTTCACTACTTGCTGCTTAATCTGTTACTGCTATTGTGTATTAATTTTGAAGAGCTTGACAATAAAGTAGTGTTGTAATGGAAAATTGGTGCTTGTTCATAAATAACTGAAGGCAGAATACACTACGCAAGTCTCTATTAATATCCATTTGATATAAAAATATAATTCGTTAGAGAAAATTTCATTTACTTCTGTTAACGATTGCCAGCAGTATTTCCATGATACATTTTTTAACTACTTTGTCTTTGTGGAACATGTATGTATCTTGCATCAATCTGTCAAAACAATAATTCTTTATTTGGCATCACACTATAAAATCAGTAATGTGTGAACTTGTGGAGTTTAACACAATCTCTATAGATATCAATATTCCAGTAGTTTCACAATAAGTCTTGCACTGATGATAATGAACTTTATTGATGTAGCTAAATCTATTTACGGTAGGTTCCATCTACTGTCTTGGAGGTTACAAAAATGCATATTCTATTTCCAACAATCTGAAATTTGATCCAGTTAATTCAAAATGGCACACATTACCCAACTTGCCTGCTGGAAGATGTTATGCTGCAGCTGTAGAGTTGGACGAAAAGATCTATGTGCTGGGTATGTAAGAACGACCCGCTTTTTCTTCTCCCTTAAAAACGTAGGAACAAATCGCATATTTCTCCCTCTCAAAAACGAAACGACAAACTGCTTTTTCACCAAACGCCAAATCTTGCAATTGCATATCGCTCGCTCGCAATGAAGATGTCTTTCATGTAGCTTTCCAAGGTTACTTTCTGACTACTAGCGATACCGGTTACTTCTTCCTGGTGTTTACTCATCCAAGCCTTATTTATGCATCAACGTCCAACGATTTCATGAAATTGATAATAAATCACTTATTGTAATGTCTGGAAAATCAGCAACACAATGGCAGTCCATTAACGACATAAATTTACCTAAACTAGGTGTATAACTGCAACAGCATTGTCATAGTAATCATTTGAAATGTGGGTTTTTGTGCCTCGCCCTGCAGTTCTCTTTTCTTTTATATCTTATTTGAGAGAATTATCCCGGTGAACATGTTTTTTATCACTGGTTTTTCATAACTCTATTTTAGGGGGAAGCCCGTTCAATGATTACCTTAATACCACATCATGTTTTGATATTGCATCGGAAACATGGACAAATCTGGCATGCATGCATCATGCAAGAATGCAACTTGGAGCTTGTGTTGCACAAAACAAAATTTATATTATCGGAGGGTGAGAGTCTTTTCATCCAATATTACTGATATATTCGAAATGACAAATGATTTCCTTCGGCTGACTACTGTCTACTATCTTACTCCTCTTTTGGCCAAGGTGGTTAAGTATGAGAACCAGTGGCGGCGCGCCAATAGGGCCAACCGGGGCAATGCCCCGGTTGTTTTTTCGGTATAATAAAAAATATTCGAAAAATACCTCAATATCGGTTGCACAGACTGTCTACACTAGCCATATTCTCCCGACATGGTTCATTTTTCGCTCGCAAAGCCTTCGCCGAACGTCGACGGGACGACGCCGATTTTGCTCCGGTTGCTCATTGTATATCGTATTCTCTCTTTTATCTTCCACTCGCCGCGTTTGTCTCGTCTGTTTTCTGTTTCTTTTACTAAATCATCGGGGCCGATCGAGGCTAGCCCCGAAATTAAGACGACACAATGCCGACGTTTCTTACAACAACGTGTTGACATATTCACGCATTCCTTCTCGTTCGTTGGTTGCTTGAAGAGTTGATAGTTTCCTCGCCTTCGTTTTTGTCGCTTGTTTCGCTATTTGAATCAGTTAGAGACCTTTAGTCCATTTGCTTTCGATTTTCCACATTCCTTTTGAGCTCCTCACTTCTTTCCGGCTTCGCATTTCTTAGCCTTAGACCTCATAATGAATAAGGTTGATGCACTACTTCGCACTCCGTTTTCGCAGCTGCCGCTGGAACAAAAATTAGAGGTACAACGTCTTGGGCCTTATCAACCAAAAAATTGTTCACTGGAACAATCCCTTGACGGAGGAAAGCGTCCGGCGTAAATTCTGCGCAGAAACTTGGTATAAAAAACACGAATGGTTGTGTTACAACGAGGACAAAAATGCACTTTTTTGTTTTTATTGCCTACTTTTTGCTACCACCCGTGACTCACGTTGGTGTAAATTTGGTTTTAGAGATCTTAAACATCTTTCCGAGCGTGCCAGGGATCATCAATCTTCTATGGAGCATCTGGACAATGCAGTAAAATACCGAACATTCGGAAATGTTAATATTGCAGCACAGTTGGATGAAGGGCGCGCGGTTTCTATTCGTCGGCACCACCAAAACATCGAGAAAAACCGCCATGTTCTCGGTCGATTGATAGATGTTTTGAATTTCATTGGTTGTCACGAGCTGTCCCTCCGTGGGCACGATGAACGGGCTGGCTCTTCTAATAGAGGGGTATTTTTGGATATGGTGGAATACACCGCATCCCTAGATACAGTATTGAGAGATCATCTTGATGACGCAACTGTTTCGAAAGGGACATCTAAGGATATCCAAAATGATTTGCTCGACTCAATGTATAAAATTTATTTACAACATTTGGCTCTGGAAATTGAGAATTGCCAGTTCCTTTCGATTCAGTCTGACGAGACAACTGACATCACGTGCGTTTCCCAACTGGCTGTGATTTTTCGGTTTGTGAAAGATGGTAAACCTACCGAGAGATTTCACAGCTTTGTACCAATCGATGATCGCACGGCTTGCGGGATATCGGCTGTACTGAAAGAAGTGTTACAGCCTTACAACGCGAAGTCAAAATTGATAGCTCAAACTTAAGACGGCAGTCATGAGTGGGTCAAAACATGGTGTTCAAGTTTATATAAAAGAAGATTTTCCTCATGCGCATTTTTTACATTGTTATGCACACCAATTTAACCTCTTATTAAAAATATGTGTCTTGATACCCCTCTCGTCCGTATATTTTTTGCAAATGTTTCGGGGTTTTCTTCATTTTTTTCCGTTTCGCCGAAGCGCTCTGACCTCTTTCGCCAGATATGTAGCCGCCGTCTCCCAGCTTGTGCACCAACACGTTGGAACTTCCAATCACGCGTGGTGCAGGGCGTGTCCGAAATTAGGTCTGAGCTCATTGAGTGTTTCAATGGCATTCAGAGCTCTCCGGTTTGGGACGAACGCTCTGTGAAGGAGGCGGCAGGTCTAAAGCGTCTGCTAGAAGATGGTGAGTTTTCATTTTTTCTCGCTTTTTTCTCCACAATATTCTATCACGTGGATGTATTATACGGCGCATTGCAGTCAAGGCTAATGGATGGAGCGTCTGTGCAGTCGTGTATTTCAGACTTCTGCGATGCTGTATCTCGTATCCGGGAAACAATAAAATACGACGACACATGGAGTGCTTCTTTACGCCGCGGGCAAACAACGCAGCGTTTGATTTTGTCTGCAAAGGAATGCTGTGACATTCTGGTGAATCAAATAGGCGATCGTCTGCGCACTGAACACCTTGCCGCGTTCTCTTTGATGAACCCCAAAAATTTTTCAAAATTTGCACGTCAATTCCCCATCCATTTGTTGGCTACTGTCTCCAAATTTTACCCCATGATAAACGTGGGTAAATTGGAAAATGAATTGCGATGTATATACACCAATCAAACTTTTTTGAACATCACATCAACTTGCGCGCTATATGGGTTCCTCATAGATAACACTCTAGTAACTACCTTTGCGGCGTCTGCAAAATTTCTGGACATCATTTTGATGACGCCTATTTCTTCCGCCGACGCAGAGCGAACATTCAGCACGCTGAAGCGTATTAAAACGTATCTCAGAAACACAATGAAGCAAGATAGATTAAATTCCTTGGCTGTTTTATCCATTCACAGAGACGTTATTTCTGGGATGCATGACTTTAATCAGCGCGCTATTGAGCATTTTGCTTCCAAGAAACCGCGGCGTGTTGCATATATGTTCAAGCAGTAGAAGTCTAGCAGCATATATATCTATGAGTGAGCGACGCATGTCCTTTTCTTTGCATTAACTTTCCTTTCTTCATAGTAACGTTTTAAACCCTATTTTAGGTTTTGTCTGCTTTCCCGAAGTTTCTGTTAATATGTCATTGTATTTATCTGGGTAAATATTGCCTTTCCTTTTGAAAGAGGTTTCAAAATAAACTATGTCTATATTTATTAATCCCTTGACTTGGACCGGTTTTATAGACACTTTCTTATCGTTAAAAATTGTCGCTTTTGCCGATTGGTTGTTACCGATGGAATGGTTTTTATACTCATAAAATGATGGGAGAACTTACAGCGCTCATCCTGTCCCCGTAGATGGGGGTGACTTGGTCCCGCAGTAGCTTGCCCCGGTTGTCAAAATGACCACGCGCCGCCACTGATGAGAACTGTAATAAGAATAAGTACAATACAATCAATTAAAACCCTTATATGTGCGAGAAAAGGCTGAGATTCCACTTTTATTGTAAAGTTCAGATCTTATGGGCTTGGCGGTGTTGTTGCAAAGCATTAAGAATATGCTAGTCATCGCACCACTGATAACATGACATAAGTTGACAGGTTCACATCCTGGGGAGGTTAATTATGTGCGAGAGGATCACTGAAATCGTCGCTGCTGTAATGTGATTCGCATAACCGCTGGTCAGTTACGGCTTTCGTCACCATCAAGTCCATGCGCTGAAACAAATAACTGACTGCCCAATCCATACTCGACATAGACTGGAAACTAGAGGCGAAAGACTGTGGTTTGCCATGCTGATTAAACCATGTTATGGGCTTCCCTCTCCCAATGGATAAATAGATAACTACTATCCCTATTGCTAAGATGCGCGAGTTTAATAACCAGCACCATAAATAAAGAAATTCAACATTGGTACTGCCAATCAATATGTTAAATCTAGTAGTGATATTTGCCTGGGGAAAGGAAATCGATCCATTACCCAGAGAAATTTGCTAGGCAGTCTTTTCATCCACGAACATTCAAAATTAATAATATTTTGTGTTGCCTTGACGCCGATATAATTAACCCACAATATATTTTGGTTTATTATCAAGATTTAACATATGTAATCAGTTCTTCATTTACTCCGGTATAAAAACAGCAAAATTTATAATATTTGAAACCATAATACTCATGCCCATAAATATGAAAACTTGTTATCAAGTGATGTGAATGACGCTAGGCTGATATAAAAGTTGAGTCCACGGTCCCTAAAATACTTCTGAGGAAATTCCTTGCTTACCTGGTGTTAAGTCTCTTATTTGTAACAGACTTGGTTCAAACGACAACATTGAGGAGTATGACCCAGTACAGAACACTTGGAAAGTCATTGGAAACACTACTGAGAAGAATATTGAAGCTGAAGCCTCACTTTCATTAGTTCATATGGTGTAGCAATATAAACAGCCACTGCTACCATACTTATTAAATAATAAGACCTACGCCAAATATTATGGGCCTGTTCTGTTGAGAAGCCTTCCGTATAATAATCTCTTAAATAAGTAGGTTTATTTCGATTTCCCTTAAAGACCAAACAAAAAAAATTAAATAAGCAATGCCTGCGTCTCACCGACACAAAAAATATTACTGTACGAGACACATGGTAAAGACAAGAGGGCGTTGGTATATATGGACACGAATACCACAAAAAGTTTCGAAATAAATAATAGGAATAGTCTTCTAGTGGCAAATACAATCTTGCGCCACTGAAAATTTCAAAAAATTGATCCAGTAGTTGGGTAGATTTTTTCATTTTTTTGTAACAACAAAAAAATACTATCAACAACATATTATTAGCAACATGATACATAGGTCCAATTTGTGTCCAAGTAAAAAAAACACGGTCAGACGCCGTCAAATTGGACGAAAAATGACCTCTTATTAACTTAAATTATATTATCAAAAAATCTGTAGTAATTTTTATCGGAAGAAAATAAACATATGTATTCAATAGTGTGGTGTCGAATGTTTTAATGGTATTGTGGTTGAGTAGGACTACCCGCTAAAAGTAAACTCTGTTAGACGGTAACTGCCTGTTTCTTCGGTTATCTGAAAGTTGCATCCATGCCCGATTGTGAGTCCTATCGCCGTGCTTTACCGCTTCGATTATACTTCCCTATACGGTTACCAGTAAAATTTAATATAATTTGGTAAATCAGGTGGTCTAGCCCAGTGGTTCCCAAACATTTTCATCCGTATGTCGAAAACTCTCTCTTCCAAGTGTTTCATGCAGTCAAAAGCAATACAACAAGCAAAAAAGGGTAGCCTACTCGATAAAATGAGACGTCGTGCATATTTTTCATATTTTGTTTTCGTGCTATGTGTTAGTTCAATGTTTTGTTGCCGGTCTGCGAAGCCATTTTATTTGATATTCTTTGTCCGCCGATGTAAAAAGGTTGGGAACCACCGGGCTACTGGATCGCCTAAAAATCTTCTTAGGTCGCCCATTTTGACGACAAAAATATTTCTAGAAAATTGTATTTTATATCGGTTATTGAGGTATTGCTCAATTTTATCAGGGGAATATAACAGCGTCTTTACTGCTTACATGCTGTTTGGTACGCGAGTATATCATTGCGTAGCGAGATTTAACAAAATTCATTTTCTAAAAAATTCGCGTTGCTGAAGAAAGGGTTTTGGGAACAACTGGCCCAGTAATAATAGACGATAAAATAATTGATAAAAATAAATAAAACTGATTATAGAGTCACGAGAGCAAACAAAACCTTAGATAAGGTTCAAAACGTACAGATTTTAGATTGAAAGATGTTGTTAAAAGAGCTGGTATATATGTGTTCACCTCAGAGTATTAAATTAATCGGCGTGGCTTATCGTGCTAAGCGTTAGGAATGCGCTCGCCACCGTACCTCTGATTACCCTGCGTAGGTTCGAATCCCATGCAAGGATGGTTATGTGCAAAAGGATTGCTGGACTCCTCGCCCCGTAGGGTGTTCACGTTACCGCTGGTCGGTTACGGCTTCCTCTATCATGCTCCAAAAAAAAAAAAAAAAAGTAACTAACTAATAACCCCCCCTGGATCAGCGATTGTGGAGTCGTGATGCCGTCATTTTTGGTTCACATAGTCACATGGGGATATAGAATAAAATATGTAAACATGGATAAGCTACGACTGCTAAATGTACCGTACTTTTGGTACTAAAACATACCCGTCGCCATACGTGTCAGATTGCCCTAAAGTGAATTAATATATCCAGCTCATTCTTTAATCAGCTCTATTGAGAGATATTACGTACTTTTTGAATGACGTTTTCAGGTATGGGGAAGGAATGATATATGAAAAAATGTTACGCACAACCACTAGAAGTTACTGTGGTATGAAACTACACCCATGTGATTGTATATTAATATGTCCGTTTCTGCTTGTCTAAAGCCTTACTTAAAGTGAAAACGTATGAAGCCTTATGATTATTAAAGAGTGGCACAATACATGGTATATCGCAGGACATAAAATAGCAAGTCTTCAGGTGTAAGGTACCCAACTAAACTACACTCATTACGTAAACGTAGATTAATATGTCAGTTTCTGCTTGTCCAAAGCTCTGGCTAGAGTTAACGTGCATGACACCAGTCACACCACTGTGAAACTAGCAGCAATTTCAGCCAGAATATTTTCACACATTGAATATAGTTTCCACGTGCATATAGTATTCATTTATAGTTACACATAAAAATTGAAAAGGCTGATAAAAATATAATTTTACCACGGAATTACATGAAAAATCTCTAAACTGATTAATACACTGAATTTGACGAGAAAATAGTGTTTAAAAAAAGACTAACTAAGCGAAAAATGATTTTTCAGGTATTTCGCAAAATACGAAGTTTCAAAAAATTATCGTTTTTGAAAGGGCGATTTCTCGAAAATCGCCAATAAAAGCAGCACCACAGCACATTCGGAGAAAAGCAGATAGATACTTTATAAATTTGATTTCACTATACCAGAATAGTAGCAGCACGTTTTGAATCGGCCATATATAATACCGAACATAACGTGTATTCTCAATTTTATAAACAATGTTGACGAAACAAGAAGGCGTAAAATGAGCAGTGGCGCAACTACCTATTGGATCTTGTGGATAAATCCAGGGGCGGCACGTTGCTGGAGGGCGGCAAAACGTTTCAAACGAAGCGAAAAAACGTTTTAACTGAACCAAGGCAGTCACATTAAACGACCTAATTTACCAATGAAGCCAAAAAATTACACAAGATATACGTCTAAACCAGGCTCGTGGCCCTCTTTCAGCGCCTATTTGCACTCGCGGTCTCCGTGTTCGCCAATCAGAACGTGTTGGATTGTATTATGTGTTTACGACCTATTATGGAAGGCAAAATCAAACCACAGACAAGAAAGTAAGCGCTATCCAGTATACAATCAAAGGGAATCCTGCGCTTAGGACTGTCTGACGAGATTTATCGTATTAGGCGCAGTCTTTTTTATAGCTAGACGGATGTCAACATCAAGGCGGTTTATAAATTTTGTTTTTGTGGTAATAAAAATTGGCTTTTGCTCCGACAGAAACCCGAATTTAGTCAATGTGCGTTCCTGTCAAATCTAACTCGCTTGGCAGCAAAGAAACCGATGCCAACGTCTTTCACCGGGGGTGATTTTTGTTGCGGTATTTTGGAGTTCAGATGGACGTATTGATTTATTGCCCATTACATACTAGCAATGCCAGCATTAATCACATTCTTTGGCATCTCAATTTACTTTGGTAAAGTCAACGGAACTGTTGTTGTTAGTACATCTTTGTGTGCTTGAAGGCCCAGCAAGGAACGCAGCTATGTGTTCATCCAAAACGGTACTGTAGTTCAATTTTCGTAATCGCGTCTATAATACGCTAGCAAAGGTTATCTCGCAGTCGAGTGGAACTGCCATTCTGTAGGTTAGACAGGGTTGCCATATATATCATGCTTATTTTAAGATTTGTGTTTATTTTTCTAGCTTGCGTCTTATAAAGTAACGATGTGCTTATTTTTAAGAAAAGTGCTTATTTTTGAGTTACGTGCTTATTTTGTCTTGAAACATGGGCGACTGGTTCGTGTTTTACGTACAAACCTTGCGTGGAAACGAAATATGGTGTTTATCTTTATGGGCAGCGCGTATTCGAGCTTCGCTGCGTTATTTTGTGACGTATCAATTATCCACGTTCCACCGTGACCATAACTGGACTATGCCGCGACCTCATGTCTCGGACAGATTCAGATTCAGATATTTATTTTCATCGTGCAAGAAACAATGCAAAATAATAAACACACATAAAAATAACAAAAAAAACGAAAGACGTTGAATCTAGCAACTGATGAGGGGTCGCGAAAGACTCGGTGAGTCATCCAGTCAGCGACACTTTTTTGATCAGTTTAAGCAGCAAATACAGGAGAGAAACATTTTTTTCAACTTAACCTAAGATACACAATGATAAAAATTTAACAGAGCCGTGAGAAAAAATTTGTAATATATTTCGTATAGATGGCGCATTAGCGACATCTAGAGAACAGGATATGCCCGATGAGTGCAAGCACAGCATAACTCTGCTGACAAATATGACTAAGCATAAGAAATGACGCTGCTGCCCAGCAACGAGGGTCGTTACTTGTTATGAAAGCGATCGACAGACAAATTAACTTATTGCCTCAATAGTATACTTGAAAATAGGAAATATTTATGCATTTAGCTAATGGCACATGATGAGTAGACAGAAATAGACAATACCAAGCATGAATCAGATAACAGCAAAGTAAATAATGCACAACTTTCTGAATGCCGGAATGACAGAATGAGGATGCAGTAATATGATAGCAGATAGAACATACCGGCAGATGGATAAAGTGTATGTAAAATGATATTTCAGCGCAATAATTCTGCGAGAAACCAAAGTATTAATATTACAGATTACGTGTGGTTGTGCCCCCCCCCATTTAGCTTTAAACATCCGTAGCTTTAAACATCCGCGCTTATTGTTGGCTCCAGGTAGATGGCAACCCTGAGGTTACTCCAGACGGCCTACCGGCGAACTACTTTATTGGTAGATTTCAAGTTCCATTATGATCAAACAATTTACGCACAAGAAAGTGAATACACCCTGACCCTGTAATCGCAAATAATCATATTCAGGTAATGAAACTGCCGTGGAAAGTATGCAAACGAAGTCGCTATATAATAAATTATTAGTCTTGTGTCGTATCAAAACCTACTTTGATATCGTTTTACTTGAGATCGACTATCGAAAAATTGGCGCCCCGACCTCCACGTTTAATCATATTTTCTATTACATTTAATTGTATATGTAAAAACAAATTATATATGTTAATTCAAATTTATATGTATTTATATATTTTATTATTTATTCAAAAATATATGTATATGTTCAAATTTTAATGGAACATTTTATTTAAAGAAGACGCAAAGCTATACAAAATATAGCATATGTCCATAATGCCCCACTCAGTTAGGCTACTGTCA